GTGGAGCAAGAATCCATCTCAAAAAAAAAAAAAAAAAAAAAAAAGATTATGCCCAATCATTTTAAAACTGAGTCTCCATCTCCTTTCCACACAAGATGCCTCAGAGGGTAAGAGCAGATCTTAGACAATTTGTGAGCTCTAAGTTCTCTTCAGTTAATCCATATTTAGAACCTGCATAAGCCAGGAAAGGTACATAGCAGCTAAAGGAATTATAACCCCTCAAATGCAAACAACCTTAGGGCACACTTAGTCCAAACTAGTGCAGTTTTATAAAGTACATTCTTTTTTTTTTTTTTTTTGAGACGGAGTTTCACTCTTGTTACCCAGGCTGGAGTGCAATGGCACCATCTTGGCTCACCACAACCTCAGCCTCCTGGGTTCAGGCAATTCTCCTGCCTCAGCCTCCTGAGTAGCTGGGATTACAGGCACGCGCCACCATGCCCAGCTAATTTTCTGTATTTTTAGTAGAGACGGGGTTTCACCATGTTAACCAGGATGGTCTCGATCTCTTGACCTCGTGATCCATCTGCCTCGGCCTCCCAAAGTGCTGGGATTACAGGCGTGAGCCACCACGCCCGGCCATAAACTCCATTCATAAAGTAATGGAGTTCTAGAGGACACATACTTTAGAAAAGGTGGAGTAGGCGAAAGAGCTTTGAGTTCAGTTTTAGCCTATAGTTCAAGAAAACTAAGCTACTGGTAACAAAAGCACACCAGCAGTCTCACCCACTCCACCCACCCACATATACATACACAGACATAAAGAGAAGTGGATTGCAATGCTCCTCCTTCTCTTTCATTTCCACAGAGTTCTCATAAAAAGAGCAACGAGTAAGACAGAATATTCTGATGCCTTGAGATAGGTTACATTTGAAAATACAAGGGTTAAGCAGCACTACTGTCCTAGAAACCTTCCAAATCCTAGCTACTAATGTAATTTTCCTCATTACCTGAGCTATCTGGTTTTAAAACTTCAGCAGATTAAGGGTTAAGACTAACATCGCAGAAAGAAAAGAGAACTTGGTTCAGCTCCACCCTCTCTAGAGCAAATACCAACAACCCTGAGCCAAATCCCCTAAGCATACAGAAGACTCCATGGACATTCCAAAAGACAGGTGAAAAGAGGCTCAGCTTCCTCAGGTTTCTCACCTTGCAGCACCACACACATAGTAGACTACACAATTTGTGAAATAAACAATTGTTAGATAAAATAAAACACAGAAAAGTCTACTCAAGACTGGAAAACAAGTCACAGAGGTCACCACAAATCAGCAGCAATAGCTGGAATTCGGGTGAGGAAGGTCAAACAGTACCCATGGAAACAAAATCTAAACAAAAAGATAAAGAAATAGAAGGAACATGAGCCCTAGAACTTAAATTTTGGAAGGAAACCTAACCGAAGGGGTGGGGGTCAATGCTGTGTTAGTCACCAAAAAAGGAAGGGGTGGAATACTCTTAACCCTATTATTTCTAGGGGGGAAAAAAGGTGTTCATCATATAAAAACAGGTGGTTACTAACAGCTCAGATGTCACTGGGGGCAGTCCAGGAGCACTTGGTCTTGCTAGAAATAGGAAGAGATGAGTCACTATTTTAATTCTGTTTAAAATTAAACACCTAACCCTCCAGGGTTAACATCTCAACCCTCTAGGTCACGAAACAACATTTTCTTCCAGTTTCTATCACTTTATCAGTTTTCTTCCCAAATTTGTGGAGCTGGGTCAAAATGTTGGGAGGTAGGACTAAGAGAAAGGGGTTAAGAGTTACAAGCCATTTGTTTAGTAGAAAGATGCACTAGGGTAAGGGCATAAATACCTGGAAGAAGAGACAAAAGAGCTACAGTTACAACTAGCTATTATAATGATCATCAATATCCAAGACTCTTTTCCTCTTCTGGACAGTGCTCCGTATCTTCCAAAGCTTTTATAGCAAAAAGCAACCAAACGGCTCCCTGGAGAGAGGCGTTGATGTGGGCAAAAGGTAAGGAAATATGATAGGGTTCCATGAATATCAATATTCCTTCAGACTCGAATTGAAATTAACTGGCACTTGAGGAAAGCTTACTCTTCTAGAGGTACGCAAAGGGATACCAGTAGTCGCCTTGGGGAACAAGAAGCAGTAGAAAAGGAGTTGAGGAGATGGTTATCATGGGAAATGCATAAAAAGCAATTCAAACTTCTTGAACTCGCAGTCCAACTTTCTTCCCACAGGAGAGATTTATCACCATCCTAGGTCAAGAAGGGCTTAGCGTTCTAACCTTCTGAAAAGTGACAAGCAACAGGGCAAAGAGACAGGTTCTCTGGATAGAGGAATACTGTTAGGCAAATAAACGCCATGCCCCAGTGGCTGTAAGACCTGGGCAGGAACCCGTGCCTGTAATCGCAAGGACGAACGTCCAAAGGAGGAGGGGGGGTAGGGCTCAAGTCAGGTAACATTCCTGAGGGGAAGGATTATCAGGTGACACCGGGCTGAGGGCCCAGGGGGACTGGGCGGGACGAAAGTTAGCAGGTAAAAAGGATCAATCATGGGGAAGGAAGTGACCTTTAGGAGAAGGAAATACGAGAATACCAAAAAAGGGGTAAGAGTAAGACGAGAAAATGGACCCAGAAGAGGGGACCAAAAAAGAGGAGGCGTGTTCGGGTACTAGAGGAAGAAGAAAGGAAGTGAGGCTGAGAGGGGAGATGGGGCTGAGAGCCGGCAGGGGCTATGGGGGCGGGAGAGCAGACGTGCTGGCTGGGGAACGAGGGAAGCCCCGAGGTGGCCAGGGCAGGAGCAGGGTGAGACTCCGGGGCTTCCCGCTGTCCAGGAGGCGGAGGATGTCGGGTTGCGGAGCCGCAGACCAGCGAAACGAGGAAGGGAGGCGCGGGGGCGGCACCCCAGAGCGGGGCAGGCGCCCCTGGGGCCGGCTGCAGGGGTCCAGAAGGCGGTTACGGGGCCGGGCAGGAGCAGGGTGGGAGGGACACTCACAAATTTCTTAGATTTGCCGCCGTCGCCGCCCGCCGAAGGCAGCTCATCTGGGCTCCGGCCCTTCTTCTTGTCCCGGGTACCGCGGCCGGGCCCCAGGCCCCCGCCGGGTGGCTCCATGTCCCGGTTCACGCTGGCCAGTGACCCCGCGCCTACGCCGCTCCCGCCCGGCAGCTCAGCGCCCGCCGCCACCGCCCAGCCACTCTTTAGCCAGCCGCCGCGCCCCGCCTCATTAGCATGCCGGGCTGCGCGCGCCTCATGAATATACAACGATGACGCCTCGCTCCCGCCCGCCTGCCCCACTTCCGCCCGGACCTGCAGCCCCTACCAATGGGGGAAGGGAGAGGGGTGGAGGGAAGCCGCGAAAGCGCGCTACCTGCCCGGCGGACCTAACCATTTGGACCCACGTCGCGGGGTGGCAAGTGGGCGGTGCAGCTCTCTGCGGCCGCGGCAGGGAGCACCGCCCCCTGGCGGTTGGAGCAGGGCAGGCCTCTCTGCTCCCACGGTGCGCCCACGTGGCTGTAAAGCCTGACAGCTTGGACCCTGTCACAGCCCAGACCAAAAGTCGCATGAGACCATTATCCTGGCAGAAAAGTAGTGCCAGGCTTTGCATAAGAATGCAGTTTTTAAATGTGTGCAATACCCATGGAACACATGAAAAAATTATGAAAGTGACAGCTACCATGTTTTAAAAGCAAGGTACCAAGAACAGAGCTCAGTCCAGTGCAAGCACTGGACTAAACCAGACTCGCTCTGGAGTTTAATTTCCTACAAGACAAACTAATTATTGCCAACATGTGCCTAAACAGCAATAACAGTTACCACTTAACCATGCCCTTGCTGTCTTCTAGGCACTATGCAAAACACTCTACATGTATTTTTCTAAGTCCCGACAGTCCCATGTGATAGATTCCGCTAGGCTCACCATTTTATAAATAGTAAATTTGGGGACTTTGAGAGTTGAAGTGACTTGCCCAGAAGGCATAATTGATATAAAATTTAAACCCAGCTTAGTCTGATTTGCTGCCAAGCCCTATGCTTAACCAGGATTCCCCACTGACATAAACCAAACATGAAAGAATGGGTATTCTCCAAAAATACATTCTTTGCTTTTCTAGCATGACTTTCTCCCTGAGCAATTTCATCCACTCTCCTAGCTACATCTGTCCCTGTGTGACAGTTATATGGCTACCAGTTGGCCTTCACGATATGGACTGAATCATCTTCTTGACCACAGCTAGCAAGATTTCAAGTGTAAGTTCCTCAAGGGCAGTCAGTGACTTACTCACTCTAGGGCCCCAGTGCCTAGTCAAGGGCCTGAGATATACCAGGGACTCTGCCAAGCTGGCTGTCTCCTAAATTTGGCATTCGTCTCTCTTGTGGTCCGGAGCTTCTGACGGTGACCTGATAGAATGTTACACAGAGCTGTCCATCCCATACTTCAAACTTGACTTAGTGCTGACCTTTCCAGACCTTTTGTCCAAAAAGTTCAAAAGCTACTTTCAAAGCTAGTGTTGAGAACAGACAGAATCAGAGGATGGAGGGGAGGAAGTGATCCATTTATCACCCCTCTTTCTTATGCCAGTCTCTATCTGCTATAATATTTATCATACTACTGACTGGATTGTAAACTCTTCCAGAGAAAGGTCCATGTTTGTGGCTACTAACAGTACTTAGCATTGTTGTTCACATAGATAATCGGCAACTTCTTATGTCAGGCACTGTGCTAAGCACTTAACATGTTTTATCTCCGTGTATCTTCACCAACTAGCATCACTACTCTCAACAACCACATTCAAAATCAAAGTCATCTGCTTCTCTCAATCTGCCCAGGTTTGTCCAACTCTTAACCAAAATGCTCTATTGACTCCTTATAGATGTAATAATCAAAATAGAATACATACTCAGGGCATAACATAGGGTAAGTGCTGAATGAATGTTAACTATGCTTTTTATTACATGCATCATGGCGTTCATTTCCCTCTCCCTTCATAAATAGGAAACTAGAAAGAATTAACATTCCTAGAAAGGCAAAAGGTACAAAAAATACTTAAGTTTATTGGATAAAAACAGTGGCAAAATGGACATAAAGCCAAAAGTGAGAACAGGACATTTTCATATCCTCCCCACACTTGAAAACATTACTTCCCATCATCTGAGATTCAGGTGTTAGGGAGCCAGAGCTCCTGCCAAATCCCTCTCTCTTCACCCTCCCTGGAAGCAAGGGGAGGAGGAAGTCCAGGGCAATCTCAGTCCCCGTCTACCATTCATGGGTTGGAGGGAAGCAGGGAAGGAATAAGGGGCAAGAGGGACTAGGGACTGGCCTCCAGGGCCCATTGCCAATAATGTCCCAGATAGCTATCCTTGTCCATATCTCATCCCTAATAGGTACCATTGTCAGGCCTTGGGAGAGACAGGAAATGGGGTTGATGGTTCGGGAACCAGATGTGGTCTCCAGACTCCTTCCCAGAGTCAGCAAAAGCCCTGGCGTGACCATTCCAGGACTGCAGGAGCTACTCCTTTTCCCTCCAGCCCAACCAGGAGGCAAAAAGAAATCCTTTGGGACACAGCATCCCAAGCCAGTCTTAAATCTCCACGTCACTTTCCTTGTCGTTGTCATGGTCTCCATCATAGAACTCATTGGGTGCCTCTGGCCTGCAAAGCAAAGGGAGAGAGGTCAAGATGTCACTCCGAGTTCCAATCTTCTCCCAGCACCCTCTTCCAAAGCCATTTCTCAGGCCCCATTGAGAACCACTCCTCCTCTTTTTGGCAGGGACTGCTATTCACCCATTCACTTATCAAATAAACATTAAGGAACTGCTCTGTACAGACACTGTCACAAACCTTAGCAATACAGTAGAGAATAACAAGCCAGACAAGGTTTGTCTATTCAAAAAGCTTACCTAATAAATGGGATGAATAACTAACAAAGCAAATAAATATGATAATTTCAGATGATGGAGAATACAATTAATAAAATGAAGTGATATGACTGAAGGTGATGGGAGGAAAAGGGTGAAATTTCAGAGAGGAGTATTAGAGACATAAGACCTTATGCACATAAGACCTAAAGTCTGAGGAGGAGCTGGCTAGGCAAAGACTTCAGGAAGGCCATTCCAAGCTCCAAGAAAACCAAGTACAAAGGTCATGAAATGGAAAGAGACTGATATATTCCAGTAAGAACAAGGAGGCCAGGACTGCTGGGGCACTGTGCATGGAGGAGAGTAGAGATGAGATCCTGGATGTAGGTAAGGGCTAGCATGCAGGACCTTTTCAAGTCACATTCAAAAATTTGGATTTTCTTCTAAGTGCTAGGTAAAGGAGAGTTTTAATTTTAAGAAGAATGACGTGGTATTATAAACCCATAGTGAAAGAAGGGATAGGAAAGCAAGACAGGACCCAATAGGTACTCAATACTGGTTTTTTTCTTTTTGAAGAAGTATTCTCTGGGACAGAGAGAATTGAGAAAGTCATCAAAGAGAAGCTGAGGAACTAAGCCAGGAAAAGCCTTATCTGCTTGGTGAGCAATGTCTCAGTTACTTCTAAGTGTACGAAGGTTAAAGGTGTGGAGTCAGAGACTCAGGATGAATCTCAGCCCTAATATTTAACTAGCTATGTGATGTTCAGAGAATTACTTAGTCTCGCAGGGCACAGTGGCCCATGCCTATAATTCAAGCACTGTGGGAGGCCTAGGCAGGTGGATTAACTGAGGTCTGGAGTTTGAGACCAGCCTGACCAACATGGAGAAACCCCGTCTCTACTAAGAATACAAAAAAATTTAGCCAGGCGTGAAGGCACAGGCCTGTAATCCCAGCTACTTGGGAGGCTGAGGCAAGAGAATCACTTGAACGTGGGAGGTGAAGGTTGTGATGAGCAGAGATCGCGCCATTGCACTACAGCCTGGGCAACAAGAGCAAAACTCCATCTCAAAAAAATAAGAAAGAAAGTTACTTAAGTCTCTCTGAGCCTTAGATTGCTCTTGTTTTAATCTCAGAATAAGAGCCACCGGAGTTGCCTGATGGCAACAGGATGATGCTATATATGTTTTAACAGACAGCATTTAGTAGTGTGTCTGGTGCTTGGCAAACCCACAAAAAGTGTTAACTCTTCCTATTACTACTCTGCAAGTCTTATGCAAGCTGGAGCTATAGGCATCAAAGAACAGAAACTCAGTGGGTGGTCTGACAGAGGGGTAGGGCTTAAGAAAAGGAAGAGCCTGAGGCTTCTTCTGGCTGTTGAAAGTGGGTGGTATTATAATACAGAGACTAGGCCCAGATTCTAGCCTGGAGCTATTGATAAAAAAACTCAAACCTCTACAAAAGAAGAACTTAAAACAGCTTTTACCCAACCAAACCAGACAATGAAAAGCAATTTTCAGAAGTCATGGAAGCCCTGAAGCCAGATGTTCAGACACTTCCTCGCCCAGGAGAGGAGATCAGGGGATACTCATGGAGGAGAGTTAGAGAGGTCCCCAAGAGTCAGAGCAGTAAAGCCCAGGTCCAGAGGAGAGATACAGAGGCCTGAACTCTAATACAGAGAAGCAGATTCTGGAAGGGGCTAAGAAGCCCATCAGGCTTTGCAGCAGAGTCGGCTCAGACCTATAACACTACGTGGGAGCAGGACTGCGTGTCCCACAAGTCCAGCTGTGGTTATCCCTCAGTCACATAAGAAAATCTGTTCTCTATTAACTGCATCTGTTTCTGCACTTCTGGGTTCTGCTGTCTTTTCCTTTCATTTTTCAGCAAAGTTTTGGGATTTAAAAAAATTCTACCCTATCCTTTTTTCCCCTAATTCATTCCATCTACAAATATTTAATATCTATCTCAGAAAGATAAAGACTTTTTTTGAAAAAAAAATAGTAACCAAAATACGATTATCCCACCTGAAAAAATTAACAGAGCAACTAAATCAAAGAGCCTTAGGGAGCAGTATGTAGGCAGTGACCTGTCCAACTCAAGACCCGGAAAGACTGAGGAAAATGCTGGCAAGACTATAAGCCACTACAGACTTCTGGACAGCAATTTGGCAGTAAATATAAAAATTTTTTCGGTCAGGCACAGTGGCTCACGCCTGTAATCCCAGCACATTGGAAGGCTGAGGTCTGAGGGTCATTTGAGCTCAGGAGTTTGAGATCTGTCTGGGCAACAAGGCAAGACCCCATCTCTACAAAAAATTTAAAAATTAGCCAGGTGTGGTGGTGCACACCTACGATCCCAGCTACTCGAGAGGCTGAGGCAGAAGAATCGCTTGATCCCAGGAGTTCAAGATTGCAGTGAGCTATAATCATGCCACTGTACTCCAGTCTGGTGACAGAATGAGATCTTGTTTCAAAAAAATTTTAAAAATCGGTGCACACAGCCTTTGACCTAGCAGCAACCATTCTACTATCTAACCCACTGAAACAAGCATGCAAAGATGTATATGTAAGGGGATTCATTGACATATTATTATTGTAATATCAAAAAAATGGAAAATAATGTAAATGTCTATCAATAGTAATTGGTTACATTTTATGCTATATCCACAAGATAGATTACTATACAGCTGATAAAATGCTGAAGCAGAGCTACATTGGCTAACATGGAACCAGCTATATGATGTAAAACAGCATATATAGAATGACCCTATTTGTAGCCACAAAAAGCAAAAAACCACACAATCTGTAAATGAGTATGTGTTTGTTTATATGTACATACAGAACAGTATACTTGCAATCTATAGAAAAAGTCCTATCCAAAAAAATAGAAACTATTAACAGTGGTTACTCCTGTGGAATGGGTCTAGGATTGTGTGAAAGCAAACAACATATTCTGGTGCTGTTTTAAAATTTTACAATTTAAGTATGTGTTACTTTTGTCATTAAAAATAGCAAAGAAAAGAGCGGAGAAATTGTAGCAGACATGGAGGTAAGCCAGGGGCAGTAAGGTTATACCTTCCCATTTACTTTTTTCCCTTTTAAGCCTCCCCTGCAAGCCTACCGGAACCCCCTGAAGTCCTTGCTCCCAGACCTGCTATAGTTCTCCTCAGGACCCCTCTCCTCTGCATCAGCCTCATCAGTCCTGTCATAGGTCAGGAGGTCTGCAGGCACATCATGAATCTGGACACTAGGTGCATGGTTCAGCATCTTCAGGTTTTCAAAGATTGTCTGGCGGATCTGGTCCAGATACTGGTTGGAGATGAGGAATAGAGAGTGAGCAGTTCCCAGTGATTTCCAGGGCATGCACTCTCCCAGCTGCCTTTGACCCCTACCATCCTGGTTTTCACCTCAGTGGTACCTCAAGTTTAGGTCCCGCAACTGATAGCTGTCCCTCCCCACCAACCCCAACTGCTTCTGCTTTAACCTACTGCCTCCTAGCCAATAACAGTGACAGTGATGACTTAGAACTTCCTTCTCTTTGGTTTTTTTCTACTTCCCACATCTTTGACCTCTCCTGGGCTCCGCCTTTCAGGAAAAGTTTGTGCTCAGCTTTCCTGAGTTGCTGACCTGGCGTGAGTTCTGATTTTCGATGCGGGTGCTGACATCTGGATGAAGCGTGAAGTCTGGGGCAAAGTACTCGAAGTATTCTTAGGGAGGAGAGGAGAAAGTATGGCTCAGACTAAGAAAGGCAGCTACCAAGACTTCCCAGTCTTTTTCCTTCCCATCCAGAGCCCCTACATAATAGCTGCCCAATCTTCCTTGCTCTGAGCCAGGGGTTTAGTTTGCAGAGCTCTAAGAGTGTAAAATTTCCCATCTGCCTTCAAACCAAGTCATTCTAAAATCTAGTGAGAATGGCCTCCCTGTTGTGGGGTGGTCCTTACCACTATAGGGAAGCTCCTCACTAATGGCCTCTTCTACCAGCAGCGATGTCTCATATGTCCTGAAATCAACCAGCAGAGGGGAGCAGGCTGACCAAATGGGCTGACAAGCCCATGTGGCCATAACTGAGGGACCCCCTAGCTCACAGTGGACGACGGGGTAGGAAATCAGGAGGGTGCTCACCAGCAGCGGGCAACATTTCGGACAGTATAACCACCACCACCCAGCACCAGTAGAGGGATATTGAAGCTCTTGACATATTCAACGCATTCCCTGTAAAAAGGAACCAGAGGAAGGAGTGAAGGAGGTTGGTTATCAAAAGACATGGTACCTACCTTTAGGTATTGCCTGAAAGGAGCACAAGGGAACTATAAATATTCTAAATCTTTATCTGGATAGTGAAATTCATTATGTTATACCCTTAAGATTTGTGTATACTTTATATTCTGTGTCTCAATAAAAATTTTAAAATAAAGCACAGTCCCATCTCTGTTCTGCCCAACAGCCTTCCTGTCACCCTGCTTGTTAATCAACTACTCTCATCAATGCAAGTTCCGTTGATTCTAGCCTTCAAAATGTAACTTACACTGGGTGCAGTGGCTCACACCTGTAATCCTAGCACTTTGGGCGGCTGAGGCAGGTAGACTGCCTGAGCTCAGGAGTTCAAGACCAGCCTGGGCAACATGGGAAAATTCTGTCTCTACTAAAAACACAAAATGAATTAGCCAGGCATGGTGGTGCATGCCTGTAGTCCCAGCTACTCGAGAGGCTGAGGCAGGAGAATCACTTGAACCCAGGAGGCAGAGCTTGCAGTGAGCTGAGATCATGCCACTGTACTCCAGCCTGGATGACAGAGCAAGACTCCATCTCAAAAAAAAAAAAAAAAAAAAAAAAAAAAAATATATATATATATATATATATATATACACACACACACATATACATATATATGCCTCCATCTAAATATCCATAATGTATATATAATATCCCAGAGCATCTATATGTCTCCATTGCCACCTCCTCCACCTTGGTCTGGGTACCTAACCAACACCATGGCTTCCTAACTGGTCTTCCCACTTTCATCCCCATTTCCTCTACCCAAAGCTTTCTCTATTCAGCAGTCACAATAATCACTTTCAAACACAAATTGGATCATGTCACTTTTCTGCTTAAAAATACTACAGTGGTTTCCCATCATCTTTGGAATATAATTCAAATTCCTTACCAGAGTCTAAAGGTTCTACACAATCTCACCATTGTCAGCTTCTCAGACCTCAGCTCAAACTACCTCCAGCTTGCTCCCTGTGTTCTACTGCATCAGCTCATTCCTGCCAGAGCCTTTTTCTTTTTCTTTTTTAAAGAAATAGTATCTCATTCTGTTGCCCAGACTGAAGTCCAGTGGCATAATCATGGCTCACTGTAACATCAAACTCCTGGGCTCAAGTGATCCTCCTGCCTCAGCTTCTTGAGCAGCTACGACTATAGGCTTGCACCATCATGCCCGGCTAATTTTGTTTTTGTTTTTTTTCTGGAGATGGCTCTCGCTATGTTGCCCAGGCTGGCCTCAAAATCCTAGCCTCAGGCGATTCTCCCATCTTGGCCTCTCAAAGTGTTAGGATTATAGGTGAATGCACTGGGCCCACCCCTCAGAGCCTTCTGTGAACCTTTGTCAATGCTTGGGACAGGCTTCTCTCTGCTCCCCCTAAGTCTCCTTAAGACTCCTTCTTGGCCGGGCGCGGTGGCTCAAGCCTGTAATCCCAGCACTTTGGGAGGCCGAGGCGGGTGGATCACAAGGTCGAGAGATCGAGACCAAGCTGGTCAACATGGTGAAACCCCGTCTCTACTAAAAATACAAAAAATTAGCTGGGCATGGTGGCACGTGCCTGTAATCCCAGCTACTCAGGAGGCTGAGGCAGGAGAATTGCCTGAACCCAGGAGGCGGAGGTTGCGGTGAGCCGAGATCGCGCCATTGCACTCCGGCCTGGGTAACAAGAGCAAAACTCCGTCTCAATTAAAAAAAAAAAAAAAAAAAAAAAAAGACTCCTTCTTGGTCACCAAGTGTCAACTCAAATTTTACTTCTTAGAAAATTTTTTCCAAATCATGCTATCTAAAAAGTAGGGCCCCCATTGCATCCTGTGCCTCAGCTTTCTTTCTTTCATAGAATTTATAACAATCTATTTCATTTGATTATTTATTTTTTGTCTGTTTCCTAAACTGTAAACTTCATGGGAGTCTCCTCATTCCATCCCCATGATGTGGCATGATGCTTGGAACATAACAGGTGCTTAATTAAAAATATATTGTGAATGAATAACCATTTAGGGAATCCTGTACAAGATGACATTTCTAGTTCAAGTACAATTTGTAGCTAGTTTTGATTTCCTAGTAGAGGTAAGGCCCATTCCCCAACTACCCCCACCCATGTACTAAAGTCCAAGACCACTTAAAAACCTTGGGGAAAAGAAGAAGAGCAGGTCTCACCCATGTCCTCGGATGCTGAGGTTAAAGCAGCCCAATCGATCACAGCCCAGAGAGTCAGCTCCACACTGCCAAAAGCAAAACCCCAGGCAAGTGCAGTGAGATAACTGATCAGATACCCCTAACCCAACCAACCTAAAGAAACTCCTCTTCCCTTGCTCTCTTCCCCCAAGCCCAGCCAGAACACTCCTGAGGAGGCACTGACAGTATTACCTGGAGCACAATGCATGTGGGTTGGTAGAAGTCCACTACCTGGTTGATAACCGGCTGGAAAAGGTGCTTGTAACCTGGGAGAGGGCCAAAGATGGGCACCTGGCACCCCAAGGGGATGGGGAGACAGGGAACAAAAGGAAAAAGGGGGTTGAGCGAGCATGTAGCCCAGGGAAGGGGCAACCCAAAGAACCAAATCATTGGTTTGAAACTTCTGGAAGGGATCCCAGACTGCTATGAGTAAACGATGAAAGCCAATGACTTTTCCCAGAAAATGCACATACACATGATATGTTGCATACGATTTCCAGGGATTCATGGTCCCTCTGAAGGCCATTCATCCTTAAGGACACCTGACCCAACAGCAGACAATACCAGGCAGAAGAGGTTATTTCAAGGAGAAAAAGAAGGGACCTAAGGAACAGGGGGAAGACTTCCATACTTACTCTGGTCATCAATGCCATCCCGCAGGGGCACATTCAGACAGTAATAGCGGCCACTCTCTGCTCCAACTTCATACATGTCACCTATAGGGAAGTGGGTGGTGGTAGCCACGCATGGGAAGCACCCACAACTCCAGTCTGCACTCTGAGAGCCTCTCACTGCATCTATGCACCTTCATCATAAACTCCCTAGAGCCACTAAGTCTCTTGCAGCTTGCATTCATTCAACAAATAGTGTTGGGGTATCCACTCTGAGTCAACTGTGTATTAGGTGGTGGGGATTTAGCAATGAATGGAACTGAAGAAATTAACGATATACCACCAAGCTTATGTTCTTAGGGAACAGGCGTAAGGAGGAGGGAGACAGTAAACAAAACAAAACAAAAAACTACAATAAACACAAATAGCAGTGAGCGTTCTGAGGGAAACGAGGCTGAGGTGACAGAGTAATGGGGAAGGTGATTATAACTGGGGTGGTCAGGAAAGGCTTCTCTGAGGAGGGGACACCTGAGCTGAGACCAGAAGGCTGAGAAGGAGGCACTCATAGTAAAGAGCTGAAGGGTGGGAAGGGGAAAGTAATCCCTATTCCCATACCTGTGCCAGGGAAGAAGTAATTTCCGTATTTGTGGAAGGACACCGTCATGACCCGGTCAGTGAGGTAGAAAGCTTCCTGAACCCCGTCACCATGGTGGATGTCAATGTCAATGTAGAGCACCCGAGGGTGGTACCTGGAGGGAAGGCAAAGCCAGGGTCTGAGCTAGAAGTGAACCCCCCGACCCAATCCTCCCCAACACCAGATCTAGAACTATGAAGAGTCTGCTTCTGCCCTGGTCGCCTGAAACTTAATATCACTAGTTCCCTAAACTTAATATCACTAGTTCCCTAAAGCAACTGGGGGCTCCAGCCTAGAGACTAGAGGCAGGGACAAGAGGCAGATATGCAGAGAAGGCTGAAATGTGAGCAGGCAGCAGGGAATCTGCAGCAGTGGAAGAGGCAGCCTGAATAAAGCATCAAAAACTTAGAAGAAGCTAGTCAGGGAGGAGGAAGATCAAGGTCAGGGCTGAGTCTGAGAGACCTTCTCAGCTAAGAATCCCGTAACTGCCCCCAACTCCTCCTAGGCTACTTACTTGAGCAGCTCCAGGATGCCAATCACAATGTCGTTGACATAGCAGAAGCCAGAGGCCTATGGCAAGACAGTGGTCTCATGAAGAGAGGAGCAATTCCTCTACCCAGCTGCCCCCAACCATCATCCTAAACACCTACTCGAGGGTGGCCACAGTCTTTCCCACCACCTCCTGACTCACCTCAAACTTCTTGGCATGGTGCAGACCACCAGCCCAGTTAATGGCAATATCACAGATCTGAAAGACAAACACCCAAGTCACAGTCCTCCTCCTGCCCACCCCTCAAGCTAGGAGCCCAGGGTCAGGGTTAAACCCATAAGTCCGGAGATCCAGAGGAAAGGAGGAACAGGACTCGAGACTATGTCACCTTGTTATTCAGCTGGGTTGCTCCTTGCAGAGATGCGCCTGTGTAACGGGAGCAGAACTCAAAGAGCCCGGGAAACACTGGACTGCAGGGAAGAGGAACAAGTTGGAACCCTCCTGTCTCTGTCTGGGCCCTTGCCATACCTCCCTCCCTACCCCAGACTCCTCCAATCTCCATTTTTCAAGAGCCTTCTCTCCCCCTCCTATACACCTGGGCTACCTGCAAATTTATTCAACAAATATTTTGGACCAAACCATGTACCAAGCCCTGTGCAAGGCACTGGATGGGAAATCAAGAAGCATTTAATTGTCAGGGAGTTTGCATCCCAGCTGGGGAAAGAAGCAAGCAGCTTCCAGGTACTGAAGTACACATATAAAAAGGAAGTAAGTTGGATGACAACATGAGCTCTGTTTTTCTTAGTCTTCTAAGTGTAACACATTTTAACACAATGTTCAATAATATTCTTCATAGTCACACGTTTAAAGAAAGAACTGTATACCTACACACATAAAACGGTGATCAGATAACCCACAAAAAGCCTGTAGCACAGTATATGACATCTGGTAAGCCTTTAATAAATGTCAGCTATAATTATTACCATTGTTATTCTTTTTGGTTTTTTGCAGTTTTTTTTGAGACGGAGTTTCACTCTTGTTACCCAGGCTGGAGTGCAATGGTGCCATCTCGGCTCACCGCAACCTCCACCTCCTGGGTTCAGGCAATTCTCCTGCCTCAGCCTCCTGAGTAGCTAGGACTAGAGGCACGCGTCACCATGCCTAGCTAACTTTTTGTATTTTTAGTAGAGACGGGGTTTCACCATGTTGACCAGAATGGTCTCAATCTCTTGACCTCGTGATCCACCCGCCTCCGCCTCCCAAAGTGCTGGGATTACAGGCGTGAGCCACCGTGCCCGGCCCATTGTTATTCTTTATAAAAAGCAAAGGCTTGAAGCCAGACACAAAAGGATATTTACTGTATAACTCCATTTATATAACATTCTAGAAAAGGTAAAATATAAGGACAGACATCAGATCAATAGTTGGCTGGATCTAGGTTGGGAGAGAAAGGATTAACTACAAAAGGGTATGAGTTGACCTTTGTGGGGTAATGAAAATTTCCTATACCTTGATACTTTTTTTTTGGTGGTGGGGAGGGGGTGGGTAGAGACAGGGTCTTACTATGTTGCCAAGCTGGTCTCGAACATCTGGGCTCAAGTGATCCTCCCGCCTTGGCCTCCCAAAATGCTGGGACTACAGGCGTGAGCCATCGGCACTGGCCCTACACCTTGATATATTCTATCAAAACTCTCTGAACTGTTACACCTAAAAAAGGTTAATTTTACTGTATGCACGTTATACCTACATAAACCTCACTTTGTAAAAAAGAAAGGCTTAAGCAATCCCTAGTTTTAGGTCTCAAACAATAAATATAAAAATAGTGCAGCTGACACATTTGACCATGTGAAAAACAGGACTGTAGGTTTTGTTTGTTTTTGTGATGGAGTCCTTGCTCTGTTGCCCAGGCTGGAATGCAATGGCACAATCTCAGCTCACTGCAACCTCCAACTCCCAGGTTCAAGCGATTCTCCTGCCTTGGCCTCCCAAGTAGATGGGATTACAGGCACCCAACACCACGCCCAGCTAAGTTTTGTATTTTTAGTAAAGAAAGGGTTTTGCCACATTGGTCAGGCTTGTTTCAAACTCCTGATATCAGGTGGTCCGCCTACCTTGGCCTCCCAAAGTGCTGGGATTACGGGTGTGAGCCACTACACCCAGACCATTTGTTTGCTTTTTGAGATGGGGGTCTCGCTCTGTCGTGCAGTGGTGCTATCTCAGCTCACTGCAGCTTGGCCTCCCAGGTTCAAGCAAGAATTGTAGGGTTTTACAGTCTCTCAAAAGGTTTGGAAAGAATTAGTGACTAATATCTAGAACTAAGCAAATGAAAAAATAATGCAATTGTCAGCTTCAGGAAAAACAAAAAGCTTTAGGAGAAAATAGATTAAATCACACTACACCATTTGGCTTGGTAATAAATGAATCTTTCAGAGTTATAATAATGTAAACATAGAATACTGATTTATTTTTAAATTACTATGAAGCTGGGAGGGGAAAGGAAGCCAATGTGATTCTAAGAAGACTAGATGCTCATATCCCATACTAACAGCTTATCAGATAATGCCTAAAACTGACAAAGAAATAGCAATGAGTGACAATTCGGGATTGAATTGAAAAGCCCAGATTCTGAAGCCAGACTACCTAGGTTCAAATTCTAGCTCTTTAACATCTACGGACCGGGAATGATGGCTTACACCAGTAATCCCAGCACTTTGGGAGGCCGAGGTGGGTAGATCATGAGGTCAGGAGTTCAAGACCAGCCTTGCCAGTATGGCGAAACCTCGTCTCTACTAACAATACAAAAATTAGCCAGGCATGGTGGCGTGCGCCTGTACTCCCAGCTACTCAGGAGGCTGAGACAGGAGAACTGCTTGAACCTGGGAGGCGGAGGTTGCAGTGAGCTAAGATCGCAACATTGCACTCCAGCCGGGGCAACAGAGTAAGATTCCATCTCAAAAAAAAAAACAACAAAATACCTGCTAATGATACTAGCGAGGTTGTACAAAACTGCTTAACCTTTCTGTGCCTCAGTCTCACCATCTGTATGGGAGACAATTATAGACCCTGCTTCATAGAGGCTGTTGAGATTAAATGAGCTAATGGTTTTAAAGCACTTAGAATAGTACCTAGTATATAACAGGTATTACTTCTATATTACAAATTAGTAATAATAGTCGATTCATATTATTATTATTTAAAAATCCAAAGATAAATACCAGAAGACTTAGGGAAAGGAGCTGAAAGTTACTGTCACTAGGGAGAAGGATTTATGGGTAAAAGGGAGAGGTCTGGAATTGCCTTTTTTTTTTTTTTTATTTTTTTGAGACAGAGTCTCACTCTGTTGCCCAGGCTAGAGTGCAGTGACATGATCTTGGCTCACTGCAAGCTCTGCCTTCTGGGTTCAAGCAATTCTCCTGCCTCAGCATCCAGGTATACCTGTGATTACAGGCGTGCATCACCATGCCCAGCTAATTTTTGCATTTTTGGTAGAGACAGGGTTTTGCCATGTTGGCCAGGCTGATCTCAAACTCCTGACCTCAGGTGATCTGCCCGCCTCAGCCTCCCAAAGTGCTGGGATTACAGGTGTGAGCCACCAGGCCCGGCCTGGAATTGCTTTTTTTAAAAAAATTTTCATTTAAAGGCCTGTAGTACAATTTGGCTATTTATGTTAGATCACTTTGAAAACAATCAGAAATTCATTAAACAGAAGAAAAATTCCTGTTTCTTCTCTGAAATACAGATAAGAACACATGTAACTTGTCTGACAGGGAGACTGATGCAATGCAAATGACCCAGAGGGAGCATTCTAATTAGCATTCCCTAATTGCACAAAGAACATCTACAGGACCCTAGTGTGGCTTAAGGACTGACCCTGTATTCTCAGACCTAGAAAGTGAGCTCAGAAATAGCAACAGGAATAACAAAAAAAAACAAGAAAACTCCCCAGAGAGCCCATGACTGAACACCAAATGAGCAGGGCAGTATGTGCAGGACAGAGGTCTGTGGGCTGGTATGGTCAAGAAAGCTTCATGGAGGTGGTGTGAAGGCTGAGAAGGCCTTGAAGAGGTTGCAAAGAAAACTAAGGGCATTCCAGCAGAAAGGCAACCCGTGCAGCTGAAGTGTAGGGATAAGGCTGGAAAGGTGCCAACGCCAGCCTAATGAGTTGGCCTCTATCCTCTAGCCCTGGCTGCTTCTGTCATTAAGATCTTTCAGGAAAACAGGTTAGTGGCTTAAAAACCTGGGATATGGATCATACACCCTTCAATGACCAGTTATGTGACTGAGGCCAAGTTACCTAAATATTCCCAAACTCTAGTTTACTTATGTATAACATCAGAAAAAGGTCTATTATAATACATCTAAGGCTTGGTATGAGAATTAAGTGGATTTACCAGCAACCCTTGGCATAATACCTAGCAGAGTAAACACTCAATAAATGGTAGCTATCGTAGGACACTCTACAGGATCCGCAACCTGGTTTCTTCAAGAAATAAATTCGAGGGTGTGAGAGAAAAGCTACAAATTAAAAGTCTTAAGAGACATATCGGGCCGGGCGCGGTGCCTCAAGCCTGTAATCCCAGCACTTTGGGAGGCCGAGGAGGGTGGATCATGAGGTCAAGAGATCGAGACCATCCTGGTCAACATGGTGAAACCCCGTCTCTACTAAAAATACAAAACATTAGCTGGGCATGGTGGTGCGTGCCTGTAATCCCAACTACTCAGGAGGCTGAGGCAGGAGAATTGCCTGAACCCAGGAGGCGGAGGTTGCGGTGAGCCGAGACCGCGCCATTGCACTCCAGCCTGGGTAACAAGAGTGAAACTCTGTCTCAAAAAAAAAAAAAAAAAAAAGAGACATATCAACCAAATGTGCAATGTGTAGACCTTGTTTAAATCCTAATTTAAACTAACTGCAAAATAATTATGAGACAACTGCAGAAATTTGAATACTAATTGTATATCTGATGATATTAAGGAATCACTGTTAATTTTTTAGGTTTGATAATGATACTTTTTTTTTTTAAAGAGTATCATTTAGAGATACATAATAAAATATTTATGGATAAAAGGATGTGACATCTAGGATTTGCATTAAAACAATCTAACATAAAGGAGTATAGATGAAGTTAAGAGTGGCCATTTGCTTGGCCGGGCGCAGTGGCTCATAACTATAATCCCAGCTCTTTGGGAGGCCAAGGCTGGTGGATCACCTGAGGTCAGGAGTTCAAAACCAGCCTGGCCAACATGGTGAAACCCTGTCTCTACTAAATATACAAAAATTAGCCAGATGTGGTGGTACACACCTACAATCCCAGCAACTCGGGAGGCTGAGGCAGGAGAATCACCTGAACCCAGGAAGCAGAGGTTGCAGTGAGCTGAGATCGTGCCACTGCACTCCAGCCTGGGTTACAGTGTAAGACTCCATCTCAAAAAAAAAAAAAAAAAAAAAAAGTGACCATTTGTTCATAAGTGTTGAAGCCAGTTGATGTATGGGAGTTTACCACACCATTTCACTTTCAGAAATTTTTGAAATTTTCCCTTGTAAAAAGTTTAAAAACAAAAATAAGTAGAATTGAGTAAACAGTAGCTGTGATGGTTATTTTTTTCATGGATGTAGAGTGTAAGAAAAGATCATGGCTTATCTTTGTTGTCCACTCCCTTCCCCACAGAGCATAACCCTGACTCTTCTATGGATAATACAAGCTCAATGTAAACCTAATGATATCAAACCGCTCCTTTGTTTGTTTTGTTTGTTTTAACTGCCCATAGTCCTCTTAAGATCTCTTGCTTTTTAAAACACTTTGATAACTTCCCTCTACTCTAGGGGTAAAAGCTCCAATTCATAATAGAGCTGTTTACTTATAAAAGGTCCCATTTCTTTAGCCTCAATTCAGTACACCGCCTCTTCATATTCTGCACTTGGCCTTTTTTCTGTTCCTTAAATGAGTCATACTCAATCCTACCACAGACCCTCAGCACATGTCCCTACTGCTGCTATACTCTTCCCCTCACCCTCCAACCACCTTTGATCTGACTACTTCTACTCTTTTTTCAGATCTCAGCTCAATCTTTACTTCCTCTAGGAAGCCAGTCACTCCACCAAGCTAGAAAATTCACCATGTATACATTCTCATAATCTGTCATTTATCTCCTCTTCATAAGACTTAGCAAAAATACAATATTAAAATTTTGGTTTTGCTCATCACTGCATTCCCAACACTTAGCACAGGGTCTAGCCTAGAGCAAATGACCAATAAATATGTATTAAATAAACAAATAAGTGAATTATGATTCTTTAACAAGCAGGCCCCCCTTCAGATGTTCCCACTGGTGCCAAAAGACCTCACTGAAGGGACTGGAATTAAACTGTTGGACATCAAAAGTCCCAGTCCTTCCTTACCAGTCATCGCCTACATTGAAGGCGTTAAGACTCTTGGTGAAGCCTTGCATATTTGTGGGGCTGACTCTCTGCAGGAAGTCAATGTAGTCCTCGGAGTGGAAGCGGCACATGTCATGCTGGGAGGCCTGGTATGGCTTGAAGACCTCAGGATGGAGACACAAGATGAACTTAGGCAGGGTCAGCCCCACTCCACAGGCTCAGACCACCCATACTGAACCCAGTCCTGGAGATTCTATGAAACCAAACATAGCAATACCCTCATCCCACAATCCTTAAGTCAGGAGAGAGACTCCAATTAACCAGGTAGGTTAGTGCTATTGAGTCCCCTGAAGACCACTTCTTTTCCTTTCCACTTCCAGCTCAACCTATCACACCTTCTCAACTTTGAGCCCTGATCCACCTGCCCCGTTCCTTGGCTTTCCTATTCCCATTTCTCTCCATGCTCTGATTCTGTCCTCTTTCCTCTGGATTCTTCTTTCTGGAGTCAACTGTATGGGATATCTGTCAACTTTCTAATTAAAATCAAAGACTTATTACCTCTGGAAGGTGAGGGGGATGTGTCATGCCTCTTTGAAAACTGGACAAGAAAGAGCTTTTCTTCTCCCAGAAAATGCACACAGGTACATACAGGCAAACAATCTCAAGGGATATAGATTCCTGCACTAACATCACCTCAGTCTTTTCTATGACCAATCCATTCGTCTGTGCCTTGGCACAAGCAACGAACACTCATTCATATTGTTCACTAATTCCCTAGCAACACCTCCCTGTCACTCAGGCTGCAGTGCTACAGCATGATCATAGCTCACTGTAACTTCAAACTCCTGGGCCCAAGCCATCCTCTCACCTTAGCCTCCCAAGTAGTTGGGACTACAGGCACACACGCCACACACGGCTACTTTTGTTTTTATTTTTGTAGAGATGTGGGTCCCACTGTGGCCCAAGCTGGTCTCCAACTCCTGGCCTCAAGCGATCCTCCCATTTCAGCCTCCCAAAATGCTGGGATTACAGGCATGGGCCACCACACCTGGCCTGGTTTAACTGTTACTATCCCATATCACAGCCATAAATTGCAAGCTTGTGGGATAGCATGTGTATGTCCGGAGATGAAAAACTGAATAGCAATTAAGCAGAACCACGTAGAGGTATCCTAGGCTGAAAACGCAATACCTAAGATATCTCCTCTCTTGCACACGCACATACACACTTACAAACATGGCAGCACTGTTTCACCCTGGAGCCCCAGCTTCTCGGAGGTAGAGAAAGATGATAAATGAGGAGTGGGGACTGAGAGTAAATCTCACACCCCAATACAGTGATATGCTTCCCCCCATTACAATTCCTGAGGCTTAGGCCCTACCCACACTCTAAAACGCAGAGGAGGAACACACCTTCTGTCTTCAAACCAGTCCCACATCACCCTAACCCTAGGCCAAGGGCTAGTCTATCTACAGTCAGAGGGTGGCGGACCTGAAGTGAGAAAGTACTTTCAATTAAGCAGAACACGCCGCCCCCAACACGGTGCACATTCAAGGTACTCCTGGTGTCTTCTATCCAGCTTCCCCCTACTTTAGGGGCGGGTCGCATTCAATGCACTCAGTCCAGTCCACCTATCCCTACGGCCACAGTTCTCCCCACCCCCCAACCCACGGCCAAGGCAGCGGGACTCACGATCATCTTCTTATAGAGACCGTAATGCAGGACGAGGCTATGGGTCAATGCCAGGCGATGGGGCTTCATGGGGTGTCCAGCTCCTGGGGGTGGGGAGAAGAGAGTTCGTCAGCTCTCACCCCTGGAGTTGCAACCCCCACCTCCAAACCCCCGCGTCCCAACCCCTCGTGCATATCCCTGTTTCCTCACCGTAGTGGAAGTTGCCCACGTCGGGGTCGTAGAAATAGGCCACGGTCTTGGCCATGGTGCCGGCGGGAGCAGGCCCCGCGCCTCCGCCGCCCGCCGCCAGCCCCGCCCCGGCCGTGCGTGCTGCGCCAGCACGTAGCCTGCCTCTGCGGAACTGGGCGGTGCGGGCCCGCCTCCAACCACACCCAGGCCACGCCCCTGGAGGAGCTCCGCCCCTCGCCTGTCTCCGCTCTCCCGGGATCTGGGGCTTTGAGCGTCCAGGCTTGGGCGGGGAACTGGTAGCATCGCTCCTAGGATGCAAGGGCCATTTCTCTCCGGCCGGGGGTCAGAGCCTCGGAAAGCCGAGCCATCCCATCCAGCCGCTTGCCCCAAACCGGGCGCAGGCCGTGGTCATTTCTCTAGGAAGCTACGAAGGTCCCGCCACTCCGTCCCTCAAAGGTGCGGAAAACCGGCTTCCCCCAGCCCTCGGGGAAGATTCCTGACTCCCCCCCTTGGTCGGGGCATCTGAGGACAGGAGCTGCGCCAGGCGTGCCGGATAGTGGACAACACCCACACCGGACAGCCTGTACCCCACCCGGACCCAGACTCCGCGCCGCACATTGCCCCGGGGGGGCCCGGCGCAGTCACGCGCGCGCAAGGCTCACGCTCTCCGCCCCGTACACCTGCGCTCCGCCCCCTGGTCCTGGGCCCGCGACGGGCGAAGGCATTTGGGAAGCCAGGGCGGCTGCGGAGGCGCCCATCTCCCTGATCCAGGGCCGGAGTTGCTCGAAGCCTGCTGCCGCTCCCAGCCAGCCCGCATCCTTCTCTGTCCTTCCCTCCCCCCGCCTGCCACGGCGCCGGTATCCGCAGCCACAGCCCGGGGCCGGTGAGGCGGCGAAGGGGGAGGGGAGGAATCAAGGGATGAGCGCCGGGAGGGCGTCGGGGGCCCTGAGCCGCACTAGGACGCCCCTGGAGCCGGAACCCGAGCAGAAGCCGGAACCAGAACCAAATCACCGGTACTGGGTGGGCCAGGTGGTCAGGGTGGGAGAAACCGAAAAGGGAGAGGGGTGCGGGAGTACTGAGAGGAGGGGGTTGCAGAGGCCTGGCTCAGGCCGGCGCGGAGGTGAGGGCGCTGACTCAGGCGCGATTTCTGCTCCCGCCGCCTAAGAATTCCGTCCCATCTCGTGCTGCAGTGTCCTTGGGAGGGACAGAAGCGCGAATGAGCTGGAAAGGGGAACGCTCGGGGCGTCGGGTTGTGGTAGAGAGCTTGCGTAGCCGCTGACCTCTTGCCTCGGGCGGTATTGGCGAACCAGCACCCTTGGCCCGGACAGCTCCCTGGTTGGGTAGGGGGTGGAGCCGGACCGCTGAGACTAGCTTGTTTCAGATCCTGAGCAAGGCATTCCTACCCCTCCCCCATTCCCAGCTGCAGCCCCCTAAACCCAGGAGGCGCCCTGGCCCGCGCTCGCCCCCCAGGGCCTCATGTCGGAACCACAGCCTGACCTGGAACCGCCCCAACATGGGCTGTACATGCTCTTCCTGCTTGTGCTGGTCTTCTTCCTCATGGGCCTGGTAGGCTTCATGATCTGCCACGTGCTCAAGAAGAAGGGCTACCGCTGCCGCACGTCGAGGGGCTCTGAGCCTGACGATGCCCAGCTTCGGCCCCGTGAGTGAAGAGCCTGGAACCCTGGCTCAGTCACGTTTCGCCCTTCTCCCCACACCTTTGCCCCTCACCTCTGCCTCCCTGACCAACAGACCCAGGCCAAATCCTGACCAAGCCTGCTCAGGAAGCCTAGTGATGCACTCTTGAGTCAGCAAGTAGGGTGACACCACTCTGAAAGCAAAACTAGAAAAGGCAGCATGGCAGGAAGGGTCCTCCGATGGTAGTCTTGGGCTCCCATTGGTGTCCCCATCTTTTCTGGTCCCTGAAATGCTGAGGTCCAGCATGATAGCAAGTAGGTAAAAGGGATGTCCTGAGCAATAAATGATGGGGGCCACCAGGTAATGCTCCCCCAAAGCTGACTCATTCCTGCTTCCTTGCCAATCTCTTTCATCCTTCAGCTGAGGATGATGACATGAATGAGGACACAGTGGAGAGGATTGTTCGCTGCATCATCCAAAATGAAGGTGGGTCTAGCCTAGCCCCTTGCTCCCTCCTTCTCTAGCCTTCTCTTGCCCTGACCTCCACCTCCACTGACTCCCTCTTTTCCTTCTTCCTCAGCCAATGCTGAGGCCTTGAAGGAGATGCTGGGGGACAGTGAAGGAGAAGGGACAGTGCAGCTGTCCAGGTGAGCTGGAAACAAGGGCCAGCATGACTTAGCTTGCCTTGGAGAGTATCCTCTCCTCCAGCACAATCCTCTCCCAGTCTCCTTGCATGTATGGGGTTGGGGGAAGGGCAAGGCTGGCTAACTTATAGGAAGAAAGAAGTTTCATAGAAATCTCGATTCCTTCAAACCGTATGTCTCATCTAGATATAGTCAAGTCCAACATTCACCTCTAGTGCCACTCCTTTGGGCTAAGCAATGCTCTTTTTAGCAAACAGCCCTGGGAGGAAGAACACGTGGTCACTAACATCTTAATGTTGAGTTTATTAAAGACATGAAAAAATGTCAGGGTCTGGGGAAATTGGGGCTTCTGGGGTTTTAAGGAGCATGCTGAAAGAACATAAGCAACAAAACATGAAGGGAAATGGAAATTTTACCCCTTGCTCCCCTCCTCCCTGCTGTCCAGTGTGGATGCCACCTCCAGCCTGCAGGACGGAGCCCCCTCCCATCATCACACAGTGCACCTGGGCTCTGCAGCCCCTTGCATCCATTGCAGCCGCAGCAAGAGGCCTCCGCTTGTCCGCCAGGGACGGTCCAAGGAAGGAAAAAGCCGCCCCCGGACAGGGGAGACCACTGTGTTCTCTGTGGGCAGGTGGGGCAGGTGCTCCAGGGAAAGGGAGGTTGAGGTAGGAGGCCCAGAGATCAGGCACTTGATCCCAAAAGTGGGCCCTGGCTCTTTCCGCCTGGACTGGGAGCTCCAGCAGGAGTCAGGCATACAGTGTGCCCTACAATCTTAGAAGGCCTCCCCTTACCTTAGGCTTGAGGGAAGTAGCCACCAAACCCAGGATGTCCCTGGTCAGAGGGGAGGGCCAAGCAGCCTCTGAGTTGTCCTAAACCCCAGTGTTCCCTCCCCTCCCAGGTTCCGGGTGACACACATTGAGAAGCGCTATGGACTGCATGAACACCGTGATGGCTCCCCCACGGACAGGAGCTGGGGCTCCAGTGGGGGACAGGACCCAGGGGGTGGTCAGGGGTCTGGAGGACAGCCCAAGGCAGGGATGCCTGCCATGGAGCGGCTGCCCCCCGAGAGGCCGCTGCCCCCCGAGAGGCCACAGCCCCAGGTCCTAGCCAGCCCCTCAGTGCAGAATGGAAGACTCAGAGACAGTAGCCTAGCCCCTCGTGCACTTGAAGGGAACCCCAGAGCCTCTGCAGAGCCAACACTGAGGGCCGGAGGGAGGGGCACAAGCCCAGGGCTGCCTGAAGAGGAAAATGGGCAGCCAAGCAAACCGGACACTTGCAATCACCAGGTAGGAAAACACAGCCAGGGCTGCACTGGGCTCAGCAATTATTGCTGTCTACTCTGGGGGGGCACTGATAGGACCTACTCCTGTTATCTGATTATTGACCCTCCCCTTTATTTCAGGTGTCTCTACCACGGGGAGCAGGGGGTATGTGAGGTGAGTCTGCCTGAGCCCTAAATGAGGTAATCTTGCCTTCCCATCACCTACTTAAACTACTTAAGCCTTTCAGCTTCCTGAACCCACAGAGTAAACTGCAGGGTTAGCCTTTGCTATAAATCCCTTGGTTTGGTGGTGGGAGTAGGGAAGGTTCTGCAGCCCCAGGGGAAAAGCTGGACACAGCTTGAATAGGAAGCAACACTGTTACTCTTCCTCTTCTCCAAGTCTCCTTCTTCACTGTGCTGATGGACTACCAGCTGGCAGGGCCAGGGGGTGGGTGGGCGTGAAGGCCCTCCCCTCCACTGGACAGCACTGCCCTCCAGCTGAGGGAGCAGCTCTACTTCCACCTGGAGTTGCATGGTCTCAGGCTGAGGGGCCTCAGGAGAGGTCATGGCCCCTCAGTCTCTTCTCCTTCCCCTGCCTGCAACAGGCTGCCTGACCCGCCTTCCCCAACACCTCGCTCTATATGATAGAGCGTGGCAGCTGGGAGTAGGCTCCTGCCCCTGGTGGGCCCCTAAAGCAATAGCACCGTAGGCCCCTGCCCTCTTAGCACAAGAGGCCCAGGCCCTGGCCTGGCCTTCGTGCCCTTTATTCACTGTCAATAAATCCGCTTAGACCATTACAGCTGCTTTGCATCCTGGCTCCAGCTCCTTCTGATTCCCAAGGCCTGTTCCTCTCCCGGGCCCAACCCCAGTGACCCTGGCATCCAGAGTGGGGTGGGTCACAGAGCCAGGGTGGAGACAGAGGTAAGCCAGGACCGCTAGAGACTTTGATGGATGGTTTCCAGCCCCAGAGATTTCAGGCATTTCACCACCCTAAGTAAGGTGGTAGCAGAAGAGAAAGGAGTAGTTCAGTCCTAGAGATGATAGAACAATTGGAAAAAAAGGAGTGGGTTCCAGCCCCAGAAGTGGGAAGGGGCAAGTTTCTACCCTTGGAGGTGAGGGTGGAAATAAGGGAGATTCCAGCTTTTGGCTGTGTTGCTCTGGATCACTGAGGGTGTGGTCTGACAGCTTGAAGATAGGGGCAGCAGCATCACTGGGGGTCAGGGATTCCCTGGCCTTCAGGTGAGGGGATCTGCGTGGCCAGGATCTGGGGCTTTAGCTGGTGGGGGAGGTGGTGGACGCATCTGTAGGGAACACACAGTTAGTTCTCCAGAGTCCTCCCTTAAAGTTATCCCTATTCCCACAGCCCTGCAGACACAACAGGACTGGGTGGAATGACCCTCTACACACACTCTTCCCCGAGGCAAGGGCCCTTACCGGCCTGAGTCGAGGTGCCATCATGTCCAGGAGCCCAGGAAAGTCCAGGGCTTTGTCTGGAAATAAGAACCACAAGTCAGTCTTCAGACTTTGTTTTGTTCAGTGTCTCCAGCATTTAGGACAGTGCCATTCTATAAATATTTGCTAAATTAATGATCACCATCACTCCATGCACTATCCTCAACATTTACTGGGCAACTGCTGTATAGTCAGCTCTGCTCAAGGTACGAAACAAAGGGAGATAGGATACACAGCACTCCCACCCCCAATGGCTGTCAAGAAACCGATAATGAAACCTCAACAAACACAATAAATGACTAAGTGCTAAGTTACGCCAAGTGAACTTGGGGTGGTGGAGATGGTGGTTTAACTCCAGGGAGGGAGACTCCTTGTGGACAAGGTGGAAGTACCAGAAGTTTTAGAAAAGGCAGGCATTCCGCAGCCATAAAAAATGAAATCATGTCCTTCACAGCAATATGGATGGAGCTGGAGGCCATTAACCTAAGAGAACTAACTCAGAAACAGAAAACCAAATACTGCATGTTCTCACTTGTAAGTGGGAGCTAAACAACAGGTACGCATGGACAGAGAGATGGAAATAACAGACACCCAGGACTCCAAAGGGGACAAAGGTGGGAGTAGAGGCAGGGGTGAGGGTTGAAAAATTACCTATCAGGGACAATGCTCACTACTTGAGTAACAGGTACGCTAGAAGCCCAATCTCCACCAGTATATAATATATCCACATAACAAACAAGCACATGTACCTCCTGAATCTAAAATAAATAATAAAACTGCTATAGACATTTAAAAAGAAAAAAAAAGGTGAGCATCAGAAGAGAAAAAATAATGACCTAAAGGTAGGTATCTGTATACTAGGAGCAAAAAACCGCACATTGGGAGGGCACAGTGAGAAAAGTTAGCTTTTTTTTTTGAGATGGAGTCTCACTCTGTCATCCAGGCTGAAGTGCAGTGGCACAGTCTCTGCTCACTACAACCTCTGCCTCCTGGGTTCAAGTGATTCTCCTGCCTCAGCCCCCCGAGTAGCTGGGATTACCGGTGGGCACCACACCTGGCTAATTTTTCTATTTTAGTAGAGATGCGGTTTTGCCATGTTGGCCGGGCTGGTTTTGAACTCCTGACCTCAGGTAATCCACCCACCTCAGCCTCCCAAAGTAATGGGATTACAGGTGTGAGCCACCATGCCCCAGCCCGCTAATTTTTAAAATAGTAACAGTGACTATGTACTTACTGTGCCAGGCACAATGCTGTGTAGTCCACAGGCATCTTTTTTAGCTCTCATAACAATTCAGTGAGCTAGTACCTTTTCCTTACTTCATAAAGAACATAAACTGAGGCCCAGACAGGCTCAGAATCCCACCTCAAGTCACATACTTGGAAGTGACAGATCAGGACCTGAACCAGTCAGCCTGGCTCCAGAGCCCAGGCAAGTGCTGTCCACCAAGCTGCAACAGACCTTATTGCAAGATGCCTGGGAGCACGGAGAGGACGGGAGGGTGACCTAGGAAGCCAGGCTTCCTTGTTCTTCCTGTCTGTTAGCCTCCCAGGGCCCCCAATTCCCTCCACTTACCCCCAGGCAGGACAGGTGCAGGGGGCCCATCCAACGCAGAGGTAGGTATAGGTGGGGAGAAGCTGGGAGGAGAAGGGGACGGCAGCACCTGGAGGTGGGGTGGGCACAGAGTTATTCCTGGCAGGTGGGGAGGTTTTACCAGCTTTTCCTCTCATCCCATTTTCAGTTCCTTCCTTATCACTTCTCAATACAGGTAGTGGCCAAATGCTTGTATTCAGGTGGGGGTTGTAGCTGACAGATATTTCAACAGCCAATATGTATTGAATGTTTACATTTATCATCTCACGTGTTCTGCTGGCACTTCACATGTACTAATACATTCAGTCCTCACCTTTACCCCATGAGGTAAGCATTTTTTTTTTTTTTTTTGAGACAGACTCTCACTCTGTTGCCCAGGCTGGAGTGCAGTGGTGCCATCTTGGCTCACTGCAACCTCTGCCTCCCAAGTTCAAGTGATTCTCCTGCCTCAACCTCTCAAGTAGCTGAGACTACAGGCACGTACCACCACACCCAGTTAATTTTTGTATTTTTAGTACAGATGGGGTTTCACCATATTGGTCAGGCTGGTCTTGAACTCCTGACCTCATGATCCACCTGCCTCAGCCTCCCAAAGTGCTGGGATTATAGGCGTGAGCCACCGTACCCAGCCAAGGTAGGCATTTTTATTAATATGACTCCTATGTTAGAAGTAAGACCCAGGTTAAGCCAGCTGTCCAAAATCAAAGCCAGTTATTGGCAGAGTGCTGGCTAGAACCCAGCTCTCCTGATGCCCACTCCTATGCTCTTCTGCTGTATGTAAACACAGTGTAACAACAGGCATTCTTATATTGAAGCACCTTCTGCATTCCACTGTGCTAAAGGCTTTACCTCGATTATCTCTAATTATGACAGTGAGCCTGCTAAAGTAGGTATTATCCCCATTTTACATGTGAAGAAACAAGCTCAGAGAAGTTAAATCATTGTTCAAGTCATGCAATAGAAATTTGAACCCAGATCTAGCCAGCACTAAAGTAGAACCCCCAAACTCCTATGAAGGCTGCCTTGGTTTCCCTTTCCCCTGCCCAGCCATAGGAGATGGGGAGGCCCAGGCCACTATAGGTAAACCTGGAGAGCAAAGAGGGCATTAAGATGAATATGAGGCTTTATTGGGGTGGAAGGGTCAATCCAGAAGTGCCTGGGGAGTTCAGAGAGAAGGTAAGCCTCACCTGTTCAGGGTCAGAGAGTTCAGGTGGCCCTGGGGGGCCAAGCAGCTCTTCCACCAGCAGGGAGGGGAAGACCCCAACACAGCCTCCAAATTCTCCCCTCCAGAAGCCATCATCTACTCCATCTTGGGCCCGGGGCAGCAGACGGATGAGCGCCCCCTCGGGGAAGCTCAGCTCCTCTGCACTCTGTCCGGTATAGCTGTACAGGGCCCGCGCCAGGAATGCTACAGAGGCCGAGAGAGACAGTGAGAGGGAGGCGGGTGGCAGTGCCCCAGGACCCTGACACCCCAGGGCTATAGCCCCTAACAATTCTCCATACCAGGGGTCCCCTGATCCCAAATTTCTCTTTCTTACCTGTGGGCTCTGCCCCGGAGGGATTGTCACTGTCTTGGCCGCTCTCTGGGAGGGAGAGGTCGGGGAAGTTGAGATACCGCTCAGGGACAAAGCCTACCTCACCGTGCTGGTTCCGAGCCTGCTCACCCAGCAATGGGAACAGATATCAGACTTACCTCAGCAGTCCATGACCCTGGCTCTCCTCTACTCAGGCTTGTAGCTTTGCCTGGCTGGGTCCATGGGGGCCAGAGAGAAGTCCCTCCCACTGCCCCCAAACCAAAGTCAGAGCCCAGGGTCCCATACCCACCTTGACCCATTCATCAGCATCTCCCTCCTCTATGACCTCCAGCCACTCACCCTCCATGATGGTCAGCTCATCCTCACGCCCTGCCTGGGCCACACACAAAGGATTAAGGACTTGGCTGTCCCCCGACCCTTGCCCATCAGAGGTCCCCATACAATTCATACCTGATAGTGAAATACCACATGTGCAGGGCAGGGGAGGGTCCTGGTGGCCAGGGCCGGGGGGGCAGGCTCCTCAAAGAGCTCTCCTGTCTCCTCACATTCCTCAAAGTCAGAAAGGTCAGCATCCTCAGCCTGGAGGGGCAAAGAACAGACCTCATATGGGGCCCATTCTCAAGCACTGGTTATATCTCCCACTCTTCCATCTTCCCCCTGAAGGACACCATGGATCCCCCTCCAGGGTAGTAGCACCCATCCACTCATTATGTACACAACCACAGTCACCACAGAGCAGGATAATACTAACAGTGATAGCAGCATTACAGCAATTGAGTGCGTACTATGTGCCACACTCAACGCTAAGTATCTTATGTATACTGTCTCATTTAATCCTCATAATGAGCCAGTTTTATTTTGCACAACTATTAACCTCACTTTACTTACAAGGAAACTGAGGTTCAGAAAGGTTAAGTCACTTTTCGAGATTGCACAGCTCATAAGCAGAGTTGCTGGTACTTAAAGCCCTTACAGATCGACCCAGAGCCCTACTTCTTAATCATTCTATTATGCTCATAATAAAAATGTACTGAAGACTCTATGCTAGAAATTATGCAAAGAATTATATATGGCCGGGTACAGTGGCTCAAGCCTGTAATCCCAGCACTTTGGGAGGCCGAGGCGGGTGGATCACGAGGTCAAGAGATCGAGACCATCCTGGTCAACTTGGTGAAACCCCGTCTCTACTAAAAATACAAAAAATTAACTGGGCATGATGGCTCGTGCCTGTAATCCTAGCTACTCAGGAGGCTGAGGCAGGAGAATTGCCTGAACCCAGGAGGCGGAGGTTGCGGTGAGCCGAGATCGCGCCATTGCACTCCAGCCCGGGTAACGAGCGAAACTCCGTCTCAAAAAAAATAAAAAGAACAGTGAAAAAAATAAAAATAATAAAAAGAAAAAGAAGAAAAAGAAAAAGGAAAAAAAAAAAGAATTATATATGAATGATTTCACTTAAGCCTCACAACAACCCTATGAGTTAAGCACAACTGTGATTCCAGTTTTATAAGGTCTGTCTTCCACTGGAGTTTTTCCCTTCTAAGTATGTACGGGTAGTGTCGCGGGAGGAGCTCACAGTTGGAGAGAGGTCCCTCTGGGACAGCCGAGCTTCGCTGAGCCGTCGCTCCTGTTCCACCTCATCCTGGGCCTGGGTCATGGCTGGCTTGAGCCAGCGTTGCACATCTAGGCCCGCCCCCTGCAGCAGAGCCAGCCGGGCAGCCCCCTTCACCTGGCTCACCTGGCATAGGGAGGAAGGAAGTTAGTGGAACCTGGCCCATGGCAGTGTCTGTTCTCTGCCTCTCCCTTCTCTCCTTCCCACCATCGGAAAGAGAAGTAAAGGGAGTGAGGCTTGCTTGAGAAGGTGGGATCTCAGGGCTGTAACCCCAGGGCTGTATCTCACCTGTGCCCGGTGGATGCTCTCTCGCACTTCCTGTAACCTCTGTTCTATGCCTGGAGCCTCCCGTTCTAAAGCCTGCTGTCGTCTCTGCTCCAGTCGCTGCAGAACCTGGTTGGAAAGGCAGAGAACAGGGGTGGGTGGAGATACTGTTGGGCATGACTTGCTGTGGGCCTGGTACTTTGCTAGTTGCATCATACACATTATGTCATTTAATCTTCCCTGTGAGGTGGGCGCTATTATTGGCCCTACTTTAGCAATGAGGAAATTGAAGTCCAGAAAGGTTAAGTCACTCCCTTACCCAGGGTTACAGAACTAGGAAGCAAGAGAAGAGAATTTGAACCTATATGGGTCTAGTTCCAAAAACTCTGCTCTTAACTACTGTGCCACACTGTTCCTTTAAAATACCTCTCATCCATTTAAGAAAAAAAAAGAAACAAACCTCTCCCTCCCCTCTGTAGCTCCATGACACCCCCAATGGCTCTAGGATCCCCTCTCAGCTCTTCTTGCTAAGAAGGTGCGCATGACACCTGTGCCCCCCACCTCACCCGATGCCCATGGTTCTGGATCTTGTAGTCACGGGCAGCTCGGCTGGTCAAGCGCTGAACCTCTTTCTCCAGGCCACTCTCACCAGCCACGCCTTCTGCTCCCCACTCCAGGACACACACCTGCATGGGGCAGGGGGTGCTGTGAGAGGACGTGACGCTGCTCCTTCTCTCCAGTTCCCTCCTTTTTCCACTCTGTCTTGACCTCCGCGAACAAGGACAAAGAGGAAGGGGAACATGCCTATGGCATGGACACAGGTAATGTGAACACAGAGACACAGAGCTTCAGAAACGGGATCCAGGTCGCGGGACAGAGGTTGAATGAAAAGGAAGGTGCAGTCAAGTGACTGAAAGGTAGACCGAGGTGTGTTTTTGTGTTCTGGTGGGAGGGGGAGGTGAGCTGGAGTTCTGAAACCCCCTCTCTATGGTGTAACATGCAGTAAGTTAACACAAAGACAAGGATAATGAAGGAGGAGGCCTCAACCATAGTCCCCTTTATATGTGGCCCGGTTTCAACAAGCAGGAAGTCTCACCTGATCAGTCCCTGCTGGCTGAAACTGCTGAGGTGGGGTGGGGGAAAATATGCCAGGCTCCTGAAGAAACAGCTTCAGGTCTTGCTCCCAGCTTACCTAGGGGATGGGAAAAGTCAGTCACTCATTCACTGGCTTACTCTCCAACCCTGTCCCTAGCACTTCTTGGAAGAAAGAGAGCGGGTAAAGGAAAGGGACAGATGTGCAATGGGAAGGTCTGCATTGGGAGGGAAGGGTAAAAAGGATCCCTGGGGAGCTCTTACAGGCTGAAGCCCACACCTGGGAGGTTGTCTGCTCCCCGCGGTGGGCATGCTCCAGGATGACCTCTGCGGCTTCCAGCTCAGTGCGGCTCAGGGAGGTCAGGGGGTCCCTCAAGTGTTCTGACAGCTCACTGACCAGGGCCTAGAGAAAACCCGAAGATACTGACACCACCCTTCCCCCAGACCTCTACTGTACAGTAGGCTCATTCCAGATTTGATGGGTGATGGGCATGAGGTATGGGAAGGAGGCAAGAAGACACTCGTGAGAAAGGCCCTCATGTGTGCAGAGCACTTAGCAGTTTACTTCACATTCATTCTCTCCTTCGAGCCCCATTAGTGTTTTAAGATAGGCAAAGAAGGGGTTATCCCTTATGAGGAATCTGGGGTTCAGAAGGGTTAAGTGTACTGAACGATGCCATGCAGCCAGCTAGAAGCAGAACCAGAGCCCAAGTATCTGTCATCTATCCACTCTAAGCAGACAAGATCCCCTGCACCACCCAGCGTCATGGGCATCAAGAAACAGGGGAAGGTCCTTCTCTCCCTCCCTGCTGAGGAATGGGTATCTGGGTTAAGACTGGCCTTGAGCAGAGCTGGCAGTTCCTCCTGGTAGTAATGGTCGAGGTGGGCATTGGTAGCCACCAAGTTAAGCAGGTACTCATTGCGGGCTGCTTGCAGCTGCTGGGAGTACTGGGCTGACTGGGCGGACAGCTAGGAGGGTAAACTGGTGTCAGTAGGAAGCCCTCGACCCCCAGGGTCCTTCCAAGACCAATTGAGAAGCCAGATCCAGAAGGGATTCTCACATTATTAAGTGCTTACTATGTGCCTGGCACTACACTAAAAATTTTCCATACTCATAACTCCTGGTCAAAATCCTCTGGTGCCTTCTGCACATATTTAAAATAAAATCCACTGTTCCTTCACTATGGTCCACCAGGTCCAATATGAGCTGGCCACGGCAACCTCTCTGACCTCTTTTCAAGTGCTTGTTCCCTTGCTCACAGTACTCCAGCCACCCGGCCTTCTCTCAGTTCCTCAAGCTTACAAAGTTATTCCCACCTCAGAGCCTTTGCACTTGCCATTTCTTCTCTCTGGAATATTCTTTCCCTAGATCTTTGCAAGGCCAGCTCCTTCTTGACAGTTAGGCCACCTATTCAGAGAGGCCTCCCTCGAAATTCTACCCCTTTGTTATTCTTTATCATAGTACCTTGTTTTATTTTCATCTTAACGTAAGTATTTATTTGCTGTTTGTCTTTCTTAAGCAGGCTGTGAGGGCAGGAACTCCTTTGGTAGTGTTCTCCACTGTATCCATAGTGTCTAGAACAGTGGCTACTACATATAGATCCTCAATAAATGCATATTAAAGGACTGAAAAAAAAAGGTATTCTTTCCATTTTATAGATGAAAATAAGGCTCAGAGAGATCAAGTAAATTAACCAAGGTCACCAACCCAGGAAGCAGGGGAGCCTGGATTCTACCCAGTCTCTCATACTTATGCATCTAGGTTCCAAACCACTAGACTACTCTGCCCCCCGCTTCCCTGCCCCACACTTATGCCCTCATCCCTCAAACCTTGGTGCTCAGTTTCTGGAGACTGGTGCGAGAGTGGAAGATCCCATGGTCACTTCGGTTTAGCCTGTGCAGATGAGGGAAAGGAGTCAGACCCACCCCAACTGGGAGAATATGAGACCAGAGTCTGGCCCAGGTTTGGTGACTTGGCTCCAACCCCACACAGCCCCACCTCCCTGTTCTCCCACCTTGGGCTTCCCCACTCTCCATGACCCCACCTGGCCTGGACATCAGCTGCCTTCTCCTGTGCCAAGGCCCACACTCGTTCCCGCTGCCCATACAGCTTCCGACTTCGGCTCAGCTCCCGGACAGACTGCAGCACCTCAGCCTGTGCCCTCTGGAGGTTCTCTGTTCCCTATCGGGATGCATACACAAAGTCCTGACCTAGGCCACCTCTGGTCCCAAGCCAGCTCTTCCTTCACCCCATCCTCTGAGCCATACCTTCCTAAGCACCTGCTCCTTGGCGCTCCGCCCTGTACCCCCTGCTAGGTCACGGTATCGGTCGGATGCCTGGAGCCGGGTTTGGCCCCCAGCCACGGTGGCATCCAGCAGGCAGCGCCAGGCACCAAACACTGTCCTGCCCGTTCCCAAAGAAGGTCTGTGTTGAGGAGGAGAGCACTCCAGAGCTTCATGAGACCTGCCCCCCGCCGCCCCCTGACCAACAGCATGGGAGGTAGAGTGCTTTCCAGTCCTCCCTTGTCTGGGAGCCCATCAATCGATCAGCCCATTAGCTCAGCCACAAGCCTCACTCCTGCCCTCCACCCAACCCACAGTGTCCTTGCTGGGTCAGCTCCTCTGCTGCTGCTGTGTCAGCTATACCTGCAGCTCACATGCCCTCCCCACTTGCTAGGCCTTCATCCCCACAGGTTCCTGGGGCTGAGCTCCCCATCACTTTTTAGCCCCTGTGGCCCACTGCCTCCATAGGGCCCACCTGTTGTCCATCTCGCCGCTCCGGTGCCCTTCCCTCTTCAGGAATGGGCCAGCCAGTTTCTGGAGTGCCTGGTGAAAAAGCCATCACAGACCAAGTTCCCTTTCAAAGACCCACCCCAACTGGGAGAATATGAGATCAGAGTATAATCATACCATTCTTTGGGTACATTACGTGCCACTTGCTTTGCTAAATGCCTTATAGTCATTAATTTGTTTAATCCTTGCAACAACAGCCCTACTACATGAAGGTATCATTATTATTCCCATTTTACAGAGAAAGAAACTGAGACCAAGAAAGATTAAGTAACTTGTCCAAGGTCACACGGCTATAATTACACACCAGTCTGTCTCACTCTAGGCATCTGCTCTTGACCACAGTAGGGATAGGTATGGACAGACATTGCTGGTGATGTAAAGGAGACTGGAACAAGACCAGAGAAAAGTTTCATACCTGCCCATACTCCCGTTCAATAGCTGCCCTCTGCTTGCTGTAGGATCTGTGGAGATTGCAGGTGGGGGGTGAGGTGGGGGATAAGGCTATGTTTGGTCCTGTTCTCCCATCCTCAGTCCTCTACTCTGGGCAGGAGGAAGCAGGGGAGCCAGGTTTCTAGAGTGTGACTACACCCAGTGGGAATGGGACTGATAAGAGTCCTTGAGATCACCTCGGGCAGCTGCAACACAGGAAACTCTCATCTCACTGCTCAGGGCCCCAGCAGGATCCTCCCCACCCTGGAGGTTCAACTGTGGGCTTAGGGGTGAAGACTGATGGGGGCCTGGGTACATTGCCAGCTTTCCAACAGGTCTGGAAGAGGGAGAGGGATTTTGCCCTAAGCTTGATTGTGGGGGTGGGGGCAGTGGTGTAGAGTCAAGGGCTTTGAGGGAGGGTTCCTGTGTGTTTACGAGGGTGTGGGGTGAGGGGTTAGGTGGGGGAGCATTCTATTTAGTATCTGGACAGGCCAGGCCTAGGGTGAGGGCTGTGGATGGGTCGGCTGGGGAGCTCTTGGCCCGTTCCTCCACCCGGGCAGATGTATGTTGGGGAGAAAAGGCGTGCAACGACAAAGATGAGTGTAAGTGAAGGGGCTTAGGGGCTACCTGATGTCCTCCAGCAGATCCGCCTCCCTTTGCTGCCGGGTCTGGAGGATGCTCAGCTGTTCCAGGAAGCGAAGCTTCACCTCCTGGGCCGGCTTCACCTGTGGGGGCAAGGAGAGGATGAAGACCCCCGGCGCGAGGCCCAAAAAAACACTCCGCGCAGGGAGCGGTGAGGGGGCGGGGCCGGGGAGGGGCTGAGCTGTTTCCTCTGTTACTTCTGGGTTGACCCCTTCCGACTTCCCGTCCCCCACCCCAAGTCGGGTGCCCCCTTAGCTCCCTCTGTTCCCCCAGCCCACCAGGAGTCCCCCATTCAGGGCCAAGCTTACTTTTCGGGGCGGCGGCTGCATCTCGGATCCAGCAAGGCGGCCAGCGACTGGACTCCGGAACTCGAGGAAGCCCCGCCCACTGTGGAGCCCCGCCCCAGGCCTACCCAGGCCCCGCCCTCTGCCCGCCCACGCCTCGTCCGGCGACGGCGCAGGGCGCAGAAGCGAGAGGGCGCCGCAGAGAACTAATCCTGTTACTACGGAGAATACCCCGGAAGGGTCCGGGCGACGGGGCAGACGCAGCGTCCGCTGGGCGGTGGGGAGAACCCCAGGCTTCTGACTCAAGACGCCTGAGTTCTATTTGTAGTATAACCACTGATTCAGCCTGTAATTAGTGATAATTATTCATTTGCATATGTAGATCACCAGTCCCCAAGCTAATGATGAGGAATGACGAGAAACTCAATGTGTGACCAGGGACACTGAGTCACTGGGCACCTGAGCAAAGATGCATCTGACGAAGAGAGGGCTGGTCCCAGACCTTTTCCTAATTCCCGCTTAACTGGAAAAGCAAGCGTGAGCAGGGTGGGAAAGATGCCTGGAGCCAGGAAGGAACCAGGCCCAGAGGAAAAAAGACTGGGCCCCACTGAAAACTAAACGATACCAGTGAGTCGGTGAGAGCTGGGAGATGTGCAGGAAGCCCCTGCCACCTTCAGGATCTTCCAGCCCAAGCAGTAATTTCTGAGGAGCCTCACCCCATTCCTCATCCTCCTCACCTAAGCTCCTTTGGCTCAGGCACCTGTCTTGGACCCTTGACATGGCTCAAAACTCTAGATTCACACTTACAACTCCCCAGTGACATCTCTACTAGTATATATAATAGGAACCTCAACTTTTTTTTTTTTTTTTTTTTTTTTTGAGACGGAGTATCGCTCTTCTTACCCAGGCTGGAGTGCAATGGCGCCATCTCGGCTCACCGCAACCTCCGCCTCCTGGGTTCAAGCAATTCTCCTGCCTCAGCCTCCTGAGTAGCTGGAATTACAGGCACGTGCCACCATGCCCAGCTAATTTTTTGTATCTTTAATAGAGATGGGGTTTCACCATGTTGACCAGGATGGTCTCGATCTCTTCACCTTGTGATCCACCCGCCTCGGCCTCCCAAAGTGCTGGGATTACAGGCTTGAGCCACCGTGCCCGGCCCAGGAACCTCAACTTTTAAAGCTTTTAAAAGTCCTTCAACCTGATCCTCCCCCAGGTAACGTTTTAAATGGCACCACATTTCCTCCAGTTAGTTAAGTCAGAAACCCAGAGTCAGTGTGCCTTCTCCTACCCCTCCATCCATCCATCAGCAAGTCCTGTAGGTTCTATTTCAAACAACAACAAACAAACAAACAAACAAAAACCTATTGATCTACTTCCCTTGATTTCCAAGACCACCATCCTAGTCCAAGCCACCATTATTAGTCTTCGGGTCTAATATCTGGTCTCCTTGCTTCCACACTGCCCCCACCCCAACCCACTGTTCACACAGCACTCAGAGTGATCAATCTTTTTTTCTTTTTTAAAAGGAAAGAAGATCTCATCACTTTCTTGTTTAAAATGCAATTGCTTCAGAATAAAATCTAAATAGAATCCATGGCCTTCAAGGCTATGCATGGAAGACCCTGTTCACTGTGCTCCAGCCTCCTTGCTGTTTCCCGAGTAGATCAAGTTCCTTCCAGTGCAGAGCATTCTTCATGCCTGCTTTCTTTCTCCAGAAGTTCCTCCTTCCAGCATTCTACGTCTCTCCTCCAACAGCTTCTTTCCCTTACTTTGCAGCGCTTCACAGATGCCTTCCTACCCAGCACAAAGGCCATCTCCATAATCACTCTTTTTGGGAGGGGTGGGGAACGGAGTCTCACTCTGTCACCCAGGCTGGAGTGCCATGGTGTGATCTCGGCTTACTGCAACCTCTGCCTCCTAGGACCAAGCGATTCTCCTGCCTCAGCCTTCCAAATAGCTGAGATTACAGGCACATGCCACCACACTCAGCTAATTTTGTATTTTTAGTAGAGACAGGTTTCACCATGTTGGCCAGGCTGGTCTTGAACTCCTGACCTAAGGTCATCTGCCCAGCTTGGCCTCCTAAAGTGGTGGGATTATAGGTATGAGCCACTGCGCCCAGCCTCCACAATCACTTTGGTTTAGTTTCTTCATAGCACTCAACTCACTTGTTCAAGTACTGGTTTATGTGTTTATTTGCTGTGTTCTATTCCCCTCCACAATGGAGGATCCACAAGAGCAGGGTCCCTGTTTGCTCTGCTTATGCTATATCCCCAGACCTGGCACCAATTAGGTGCACAATACATATTTGTTGAATGAATGAATAGATGAGAATGGTAGTCTTTTGGTTCCAAGGTTTATTGACAATGACTCATTTATTTCTGGCTCCCCCGATCCCAGCCCCTCAATCTCAATCAGTCTCCCTACTCGAGGCTTCTTTGTAGTTCCAGAATGTAGGAAGTCGGGCAGGATAGACTTGAACATCATCCAGGCCTCTGGTTTCCAAAGCATTTTTTCTTTAATGCAGATAAAAACCATTCCTTTAAAACCCAAAATGTCTCATAGAACCCCTATATATCAAACATATAAAGCAGGAGCTGCCCTTGTTGAGGGAAACTATGTGAGGCTATGGCTCTGAGAAACACAGTTTGATATTCACTGCTCTCCTTACTTCAGTTACCTCATGGTACAGAAAAATGCCATGACCTGTCCTGGGACATGCAGCCACTGAAGCCTTCAGTCTGGTGCTCCTTCCACAGCACCACACTGGATTCTGGAGTCTTTCCAGCCAGGGCAGAGGAAGCTGCCAGCAGTGCCATGATAAGAGCTTCTGAGTCTTCTGGTACCTACTCTCTCAGTCTGCTGGTCCTAGGGTCATGTGAGGGGCTGACTGGAGGGTGGACTGGAAGTGCAGGGGGGTTGGGTGGAGAAACCAGGTGTCTGTGTTGGAAGGCCAATGGGGCCGGGGGACTGGGGACTGGATGGCTGGGGAGGACTTCCCAGGCCTGCAGTGATCTCTCCCTTCCTCAGGATGAGGTTGTTGAGCTCCTGAAGCAGCTGTTCCTCCAGGGAACCCCGTGCCTGGGGACTGCTCTTTGAAGGGGGGCCTGGAGGAGGCTCAGGTGGCCTCTCCTCCTGGCCCAGGGTGCTTGACTTGGAGAGAAAAGGTTGATCCAAGGACTTCTGGCTGGTGAGGGGGTTCTCTGGCTTCACTGTCGACTCCCGTGTGGTAGAGAAGGAGGTGGAGGTGTCCTGGGTCAACTCAGGGAAGGCCCCTACTTCCTCATACACTGGCTCCTCGTACACAGGCTCCTCCAGCTCCTCTTGCTCCTCCACAGACCCCTGGGATGACTTCATTGGCTGGATTGGAATGGGGTGGCAGGAGTGGACACAGAGTTAGGGTTACCAGATTATTAATCACTAACATTACTGAGTTCTTCCTCTGGGCCAGATGCTGCAAAATATTTGGCATGTATGATATTGAAACAACCCTATGCAGTGTTTTACTGCAAAAGAATCAAGTGAAGTGCAAAGGGGTTGAGTAAGTTGCCCAGCATCACATAATGAGTAAATGGTAGAGCTGGAGTTCAAACTCAGGTCTGTCCAACTCCAAAATGCATTCACTTCATCATTTGCCTTCTATTTCACAGATTCTCTGACACCTTTCTCCTTTTTTATTTTGAGTTGGAATTTCGCTCTTGTCACTCAGGCTGGAGTGCAATGGCACAATCTCGGCTCACCGCAACCTCCGCTTCCCAGGTTCAAACGATTCTCCTACCTCAGCCTCCCAAGTAGCTGGAATTATAGGCATGCACCACCATACCCAGCTAATTTTGTACTTGTAGTAGAGACAGGGTTTCAGCATGTTGATCGGGCTGGTCTTGAACCCCTGACCTCAGGTGATCCACCCGCCTCAGCCTTCCAAGATCCTGGGATGACTGACATGAGCCACTGTACCTGGCCAAATTTCTCCTTTTATTACCACATCTTACATCCCTCATTGTCCTCATTCTTTATGGCCTCCTCTCTCTTTCTCCTCTCTCTCTCTGTCCTGCTCCCTGCCCCCAACATACACACACCCTGATGGCCTACATGAGGGAAACAGAGCACACCCAGGGCTCAGGCAGCACAGAGGAACACAGGGCTGACAGGCACACTGCTGGAGCAGGCACAATACTCACAAAGAACATGGACAGGGTCCTCCGGTTGTGTAGTCGCCGCTGGGCACAGGTGGGGTGAGGACAAGGGGAGGGAAAGACATAAAGACACAGTGAGGACTAGCAACAGGAGACAGGGGTGGGCAATGGGGCGGAGAAGGCAGAAGGGAGGGGGACAGTGAGCATAGGGTGGCACCAGGCTGGCAGGCACACCACTCCCTACTGCAATGTAACAAGGGTTACGGTAGGAATCAGGGGTTGGGGCAGGCAGGGTGCCTTACCAGGGTCTGATTAGCAGAGAGAAGGGTGGCTCCACTGTCATCCCCATGGATGGGCAGCAAAGGCATAGTGCCAAACTTCTGACGGGCAAGGTCAGAGGAGGAGCGGCGTCGTAAGACCACTGGCTGCTGGTCATCGTGCTGGTGAGAACGTGAGGGATTGGCACCAATAGGCATGAAAGGCACTGAGGGGGATAGTTGGGCTCCAGGGGAACCACAGACCCAGCCCTCAGCCTTTTCCTTCCCCTCACCTGAGCTTTAAGGATGCTGGTGGTCCAATCCCACATCTCATCCTCGTCAGTGCAGGACAAGTAGCTGGGGTGATCAGAGTGGAATCAGAGAGAAAGAGAGGGTCACAGCTATAGGAATGGAGGATAGAAAGAGGGAGGAGAAAAGACAGGGTGCAAAGCTGGGCCAGAGGAGAAGCCAGGGCAGGAGGTACTCACAGGTGCATCTTCTCCAGTATCAATGTGAAGCCCCACCTGGGAGACAAAGAACAGTGATGGGGCAGTCAGAAAGGGCAGAGGGGTGAAGGCAGGAAGGCCCTAGAAGTGCAGGCTGGGGAAGAAAACTCACGGTGTTGGAGGCTTCAACTTCTTGCGGATTCCCAGGTAGACTTTGGCACCTTCCAAAGGCCACTCCCGTTCTGGTTTAGAGCTCTGAGAACAGAAACAGAGTCAGTGAGGTTGAGAGATGAGAGATTGTGCTAAATGAGGTCAAGAAGTCATAGAAGCAAGGGGGTCTGTGGTCACGGAGTCACAGAAGTCGGGGGCATGGAAACAATGAGATTGATAAGAGTGTGGGCTGTGGAGTCAGAGGGTGGGTGCAGTCATGGCTCCTTCTCCATGGCCACCCAGCATCCCACGCCTCTGGCCCCAGGGCCTCACCTTCTTCTCCTTGAGCAGCAGCAGGCAGCGGCCACGCAGCAGAAAGAACCTCTCCTGGAAGCGGCTCCCCAGCAAGCGAGGTGGCTCTTCACGACACCGCAGCAGCCCCACCCTTGGGCTCTCACGTCGTATACCTGGGCGCAGATGAACAATCCTGGGTGGAGGGTGCTGGGGAAGAGGCCTGAGGGATGTTGGGCAGAGGAAGGAGGCTTACCTGTGAAGAGGCAGCCGGCCTGGGCCAGGGGGACTTTTTTCAAGAGCAGGGAGGCTGAGCAGGGCTCTGGGAGCTGGCACCATTGTAGGGCCTGCTCTAAGACTTTTTCCTTGGGATGCAGTGGCCGCTCTTAAGGGGTAAGGTGAGGGTATATATCAGTCAGAATATTCATACCAAGCCCCCAACTCTCACCAGTCATTCATTCGTCCATTCAACTATCCAACCACAGATATTTATTTTTCACCATCTCTATGCCAGGCACTGTGCTGGCCCTGGGATACAGTGGTGAGCATGATACATGTGGCCTGCCTTCGCAAAGCACACAGTCTAGTGAGGGCACCGACAAGCAAAATAATTGCAGACAAATAATTGCTTTGCAAGAAACAATAAGCTGAGCGAGCAACAGGACAGCAACTGAAATAGGGTAGTCAGGCAAGACCTTTCAAAAGTGGCACATGAAGATGAGACTCAGAGATTTGAAGGATTAGGAAGAGCAAACCATACTAAGATTGGGTGATAGAAGATTTCAAGCATGACAAGATGTAAGAACAACGGCTCTGAATCAGAAGAGATGTATTTGGGGAACTAAACATTCAGTGTAGCTACAGCAAAGAGGATAGATAGGAGAACAGGTGATGTGAGATGAGGCGTGGAGGACACAGGGGCCAGACATTCAGGGCCACGTAGGCCATTGTAAGGAACTGGAATGATACTTTAAGCTCAATGGGAAGCCTTTGAAGGGTTTTAATCATAGGAATGAGCTGGTTTATGCTTGAAATGTTCATTTGGCTGCTGCGTGGAAATGGGTTGTAAAGATGCAAGAATGGAACGCTGTCCAGCTATCCCCTTTCTGGGGCCACACATTTTAGTGGTTACTGTTGCAGACAAAAAGATGATGGTGACTTTGACTAGGATGGTGGTAGCAGTGGAGATGGAGAGAAGTGATCGATTCTAATGGAGTCGACAAGACTAGTTGGTGAGTTGAGTATGAAGATGATGCAAAGGGAGGCATCCCAGAGGACTCCAGGATTCTGGCCTTCATCACTGGGTGAACTGTGGTGCCATTTACTGGGTTGGGAAAAACTGGAGAATGGCCTAGGCTTTTTCTTAGGAAAGCGGGCTAGAAATCATCTAAATTGGTCTTAGATGTTTTAAATTTGAGTTGCTTGCCAGAAGTGGAGGTGTTGAGTAGGCATTTGGATATGTAAGTCTGGAGCTGAGAGGAGAGATGTGGGCCAGAGATATAAATTTGAGTGTCAGCTTACTAATGGCATTTAAAGCCATGGGAATGGATTTGTTCATCCAAGGAGAAATGTAGATAGATAAGAGAAAAGGGCCCAGGATTGAGCTGTGGGTCTCTCCAACATTTGGAGTCTGGGCAAAAGAGAAAAAGAAGCCTCTTTTGAGGTAGAAGGTAAACTACGAGCTTATGGGGGTCACTAAGGCCAAGAAGGAAGAATACTGAGAAAGAGGGGATGAGTCAACTGTGTTGAATGTCCCCTTGCATGAATGAGTTGATGAGTCCACTGTATTTGGTAACATGAAGTCTTTGATGATCTTGACCATACAACCACACACACGCATATACACATGCATGAACACACAGGCATGGTCATACTCACCCAGCTCCCCATGCTCTCGAATCTCAAAAGTCAACCACAGGTCCATCCCAGCTGCTGTCCCCCGCATCTCCAGTACCTGGTTAGTCAGCTCCTCAGCAGTCAGGGTTGGGGACACCTGGGGTCAGGGCAAGAGCAGAGAACCCATGCTGGTCAGGTCATTGCCCCTGGCACCTCACTATTCTCTTCTCTCCCCTCCAGTACCCTCGGGACCAACCTTCAGAGTGACACAGTTGTCTGGGAGCTGCTGCTCTATATAAACTTCCATGATGAGGTCTCCAGCCTGGGACAGCTAAGGGGAGGGGTAAAAAGTCAGAAGGACAAAAGAGGATACACAAGAAATCAAAGTCAGAAGATTCCTCGTGTTGCCTCAGAAGCGCCTCTTCCAACAAAGGTCCCCTCCCAACCCCAGTGTCACTCAGGCCCTTAAAAGGGAGAACTCTGGGAGTGGCAGAACCGCATCTTTAGGCTGCATATGTGCTTCCCAAGGCATCAGAGTGACTGGGAGGACAGATGTGGAGTCAGACTGCCTGGGCTCTGCCACTTGCTGTAGAGTGACCTTGAATCAATGACCCTCTGAGCCTCAGTTTCTTTATTTGAAAAAAATGAGACTACCCACTTCACGGAGTTGTATGATACTAACATGAGATTAGAGGTACTTGGAAGATAATTAAGTCCTCAGCTATGTTTGCTATTAGATTTATTATTATTATTCTCCATGCTTTGTCTGACTTTACTAACTCCTCCTTGGATCTCTTACACTTAGAAGTAAGGTCTTGCTTGATGCTCCCACAGTGCCCCAAAACCAACTATCCAGTGCCAAGATTATCACCAGGAAGAATCCTCATGGTGGAACAAATGGAACAAACCCTAACCAAACCCCACTCCCCAAAGCAGTTCACTCGTTGGGTTTCCCCTGTCTCTCAGAGAACTGAGTGCTAGTGTCCAGAAGGACAGGCTGGAAAGGAAACTTCCTCAACTGGGCAGATGGTCAGCTTCCTGTCCTGATGTCTCCTCTTGCCCTATTCAGGAGACTAAGATCAGGATGAATTACCTGCACATCCTTCCAGGTGGTGATAAGACTGACTTCCAAGTCAATCTGAGCTACCTGGTCAGAATCAATCTGTGAAAGAGCCAAAAGAGTGTTGGGGTGCTGGAAGAGGATCTGCAGGGAAGATCTCAAGGCCAAGGAGGACCTGTTTAAGAGGGTTGGAGGCCAGAAGAGCTAAGAACCAAGGGGGTGAGGATGTTGGAAGTTAGGTCATGGGAGAAAAGGGCCCAGGGCTCTGGGAGGTGGTTCCTGGTGTGGTGGGACACCAGAGGCCTCAGCTGGGGGCTTGTTGGGGTGAGCAGGATCAGAGTCTCTGGGTCCGTGCAAGGGTAGGGGAGAGGGGTTGTGGGTTGGGGGTCAGGAAAGCTTACATCAAATACAGAGATGTAGCCATCGATGAGCTCCTGCAGCACCCGCACCTCGTGCTCCCCCCGCCCATCCGTCTGGAACACGCTGGGCGCAAACAGCAGAGCCAGGTTCCGTGTACACATCTGGTTTAGAGCTGCACATTTCTGCACCCTGCAGAGGGGTGCCAGGGTCTTCATCAATGTAGCCATTCATTCAGCAAACATTTATTGAGTCCCTATTGTATGCCTGGGCTAAGTGCTTGGGATAAGACAGTAAGATAATATTGGCCTTAAGGAGCTCCCAGTCTAGGGGAGACAGATAAGGCAAGGGTCAGCAAACTTTTTATGTAAAGGAACAGAGAGTAGACATTTTAGGCTTGCACACCAGACAGTCTCTGTTGTAACTCCTCAGCTCTGCTGTTGCAGCATGAAAGGAGCTATAGAAAATATATACATGAATGGGTGTGGCTTTATACTTTATGTACAAAACTTTACTTACAAATATAGGCAATAAGCTGGATTTGGCCCATGGGCCTGTAGTTGACCAATCCGTATATTTTTATTATTTATTTATTTATATTAATTATTATTTTTTGTAGAGATGGGATATCTCGCTATGTTACCCAGGCTGGTCTCCAACTCCTGGGCTCAAGCGATCCTCCTGCCTTGGCCTCCCAACGTGTTGGGATTACAGGTGTGAGCCACCGCACCTGGCCCCTGTAATATAGTATAATCAGTGCAATACAGAAAGGGTTTCTCCCCAGAATTGCTCAAAGGCGCCTGTATCCCTCACAGATGGATAAAGGTATATGTGCATTTTATTCATCTTTGTTTCTCATATCTAACCCTTTCCCTGACATAGCATAATAAAACAAAATAATGTTGATTGCTAACCATTTCTGAAGGCTTATGACATGCCAGATGTACTGGCATGTACTATACTAAGAATTTTATGAATTTTAACTCTCTCTTTTTTTTTTGAGAGAGAGGGTCTCCCTCTGTCACCCAGGCTAGAGTGAAGCGGTACAATCTTGGCTCACTGCAACCTCCACCGCCCAGGTTCAAGTGATTCTTGTGCCTCAGCCTCCTGAGTAGCTGTATTACAGGTATGCACCACCATGCCAGGCAAATTTTTCTATTTTTAGTAGAGGCGGAGTTTCACTATGTTGACCAGGCTGCTCTCGAACTCCTGGCCTCAGGTGATCTGCCCACCTCAGTCTTCCAAAGTGCTGGGATTACAGGTATGAGACATCACGTGCCCGGCCTTCATTTAACTCACTCATAACCTATGAGGTGGATATGAGTCATTACATCATTCATTACCTCCTTTTAGAAACGAAGAAATTGAGGCCCAGAGAGAGTGAGTAACTTACCCAAAGTCACACAGCTACAATGATGGCACCAGATTAAAGCCTCGGTCTGCCTGACCCCCCAAATCCACTCTCTGAACCTTAACCCTATGACATCTTCACTTAACAACTGTTTGTGGAATGAACAAATGAATGAACGAATGAATGAATGAATGAACAAAAGTGCAGGGTCAGATTGAGATGAGGAGGGTCTGGCCATACTGACCGATAGAGATGCCCAATGAGGGCGGCCAGGGTGCGGCGGTTGACCCTCGGCAGGCAGCTAATCACGTCTTTATATTTCTCCAGGCGCTGATTCTTCTGGGGCAGCTCTGGGGATGGAATGGAGGAGGGCTGGGGAGGACCCGGGAAGAAAGAGTGGCAGCAGGTGTGGAGGGAGGGATTTTTAGAAACAAACGCAGGACGGATGTATCTCTGCCCGCTTCCCACCTCCCCCTGAGCCAAGTCTCTGGATGATCCCTCAGGGTGGGAAGTGATGGGGAAGGGGGGCTGCCAAACCATGGATTCTGGTGGGGGAGGGCAGAGATCCCAGATGGGCTTTGGTTCTCAGGGATCTTGGAAATACCAGCAGCCTCCCTCCAGCGAGGCAGCAACCGTGCAGAGGTCACAGGGTCATCGAGCTCACGAAAGAAGCGTTTGAGTGTAGTCGGTGACATCCTCCACAAAGTGCTCCCCTGGTCGGAGCTTCACCGACCGGGCATCCCGACGGAACTCAGCCAGGAGTCTCAGGCTGCGGGCACGAGCGCCCCCTTTCCGGTATACACCCTCCAGCCGTAACCCTGAGAAGAGCCAGCCGTCTCTGCTCACCATGGTGCAAAGGCTACCACTGCCCACCACGGCCCATCCGTGGCCTCCCTATGTGGTATGTGGCTGAGGGGGCATGGGATTCAGAGAGGAGGAGCTCTATGCCTCCATAGTCTGATTCTCAGGTCTCTGCTGGAGTCTTCATCCTCAGAAAGTCTTTCCTGACCTCACTATCACATATAACAACCCCCATCACACTGTATCTCCTCACCACCCTATTTTTAAATAGCACTGTCTGAAATCACTTTGTAGTCCATCCTCATTATCTGTGGATTCCGTATCTGCACATTCTCCTACTTGCTAAAATTTATTTGTAACCCCAAAATCAATACTTTTGGCATTTTCATCGCCGTTGATGAACAGAGTGAAGAAAAATTTGAGTCCCCTCCCCCATGTGCATGTTCTTACTCTAAACAAGTGTATCCTTTTAATGGTATATTTAGAGCCATATTTTTGTACTTTTTCTTGGTGATTTTGCTGTTTGAAATGGCCCAAGTGTAGTGCTGGAATGCTGTCTAGTGTTTCTATGTGTGAGAAAGCTGTGAAATGCCTTACAGAGAAAAATACATGAGTTAGATCAGCTTCTTTTCAGGCACGAGTTACAGTGCTGTTGGCCTTGAGTTCAGTGTTAGCAAATCAAACAACATATATAAAATAAGGTGTCTTTAAACAGAAAACACATAAAACAAGGATACGTACTGATCAGTTGACAAAAATGTTACTGTAACCAGAGGCTAGCAGGACCCTAACCCTGTATTTCCCCTGGGGCAGTGATTCAGTATTCACTAATTAAATATTTGCAGTGACACAGAATGTAACTACCACAAATAATAACAACAGACTGTTTGTTTTCTTATTTATAATCCAAGAGATGGGTAATAAATAAACTTCCTAGAACCCTCCTGGCTTACTGCCTTATTCCCAGTGTCTGACACATGGTAGCAGCTCAACTAATGTATGCTGACTAAACAGTGGTGGTGCAGAAAACTTGGAGGGGAAGGAGATGAACACCCAGATTCTTTCTTTTCTTTTTTTCTTTTCTTCTTCTTTTTTTTTTTTTTTAGATGGAGTTTTGCTCTTTTGACCAGGGTGGAGTGAAGTGGTGTGATCTCAGCTCACTGCAACCTCAGCTCACAGCAGTTCTCCTGCCTCAGCCTCCCGAGTAGCTGGGATTACAGGTACCTGCCACCATGCCCAGCTAATTTTTGTATTTTAGTAGAGAGGGAGTTTCACCGTGTTGGCCAGGCTGGTCTCAAACTCCTGACATCAGGTGATCCACCTGCCTCGGCTTCCCAAAGTGCTGGGATTACAAACTTGAGCCACTGTGCCCAGCCACATATTCTTTATTCAGGGCTTTTTCATTGAGCCTCTGACTTATTTCCTCCTTCAAACACAAGACAGGCTGGGAAGAAATAAGGATGTAGCCAGTGGGGGAGGTCACTGAACAAAGCCACTGCCAAGGCATGGAAAATGTTACTAGCCACTGACTTATCCATTGCCCAAGACTATTAACAATTATCTGTAGGTTTGTGGAGGTGCTGTTTTTTTGCCTTACAGTCAGCCCTCTGTATCAATGGGCTCCACAACTGCAGATTCAACTAACATCAAAAATATTTGGGAAAAAACCCTTAGATAACAATATAAGGCCAGGCGCAGTGGCTCAAGCCTGTAATCCCAGCACTTTGGGAGGCCGAGGCGGGTGGATCACGAGGTCAAGAGATCGAGACCATCCTGGTCAACATCGTGAAACCCCGCGTCTACTAAAAATACAAAAAATTAGCTGGGCACGGTGGCACGTGCCTGTAATCCCAGCTGCTCGGGAGGCTGAGGCAGGAGAATTGCCTGAACCCAGGAGGCAGAGGTTGCGGTGAGCCGAGATCGCGCCATTGCACTCCAGCCTGGGTAACAAGAGCGAAACTCCGTCTCAAAAAATAAATAAATAAATAAAAAACAAACAAACAACAACAACAACAACAAAACAAAAAAAAAACCCAATATAACAACAATAAAATAAAAATAAAACAATACAGTATAACAGCTATTTCTATAGCACCTGCACTGTATTAGGTATTATGAGTAATCTAGGGATGATTTAAAGAATTACAGGAGGATATGCCTAGGTGATTTTCAAATAAATACTATGCCATTTTATGTGAGACAGCGTCCATGGATTTGGGTATCTATGGGGGTCCTGGAACCAATCCTCTGTGGATATTGAGGGATGACTATACTGCCCACCTTACTTTCCTGTGAATTTTCCTTCTCAAGAGTCCAGCTTTCTAAAGAGGGTTCACAGAAGGGATAGATTCTATTTTGTCCTTATTTAGACTGGATAAAAAACTCACAAAGGGCCAGGCATGGTGGCTCACGCCTGTAATCCCAGCACTTTGGGAGGCCAAGGCAGGTGGATCACCTGAGGTCAGGAGTTTGAGACAAGCCCGGCCAACATGGTAAAACCACCTCTCTACCAAAAATACAAAAATTATCCAGGTGGTAGGGCATGCCTGTAATCCCAGCTACTTGGGAGGCTGAGGCAGGAGAATCACTTGAACCCAAGAGGCAGAGGTTGCAGTGAGGCAAGATTGTGCCACTGCACTCCAGCTTAGGTGACAGAGCAAGATTCCATCTCAAAAAAAAAAAAAAAAGAACACACACAGAGAAACCTGGGGACCACTTGCACAGCTGACCATTTAAACCTGAAAAACCTCCCATACAGAATAATTCTGCTTAAAACTTCAGGGAGTGTGCTGTGCGGCTCAGCTCTCACCTCACAGCTGCTTGCTATTTGCCGTGGCTCTGTTTCCTTGGTCACATTTCCAGTGCTGCTCTCACCCTCCACATTCTGACGAAACCTCTGAACACTTACTAAATGCCAGGCCCTGTGCTCAAGGCTTGGCAGGCATTGTCTCACTGTCACCAGTTATCCTGGAAAATGAGGACCATTGGCCCCATTTTACAGATGATGTAACTGAGGTTCAGAAAAGCAAAGCAGCCTGCCAAGAGTCATGGCCAGCTGGGGTCCAGCAGCAGTCTCTAGAGCAGGCGTCCCCAAACTTTTTACACAGGGGGCCAGTTCACTGTCCCTCAGACCGTTGGAGGGCCACCACATACTGTGCTCCTCTCACTGACCACCAATGAAATAGGTACCCCTTCCTGAAGTGCGGCGGGGGGCTGGATAAATGGCCTCAGGGAGCCGCATGCGGCCCGCGGGCCGTAGTTTGGGGATGCCTGCTCTAGAGGCAAAGCTCTTCCAGGTAATTCATCCTCCACCTTGGCTGTGCCCACATTCTCCACCCCCTATCCTCCCATCCCCCGCCCCCATTTGTTCAGTATCAGCCAGTGCCCACTCACCATGCTGGGTAACAAAACTGATGCAAGAATCCACGATGATGGGGATGTCACCCCGGCTCATCTGCTGATCCTGCAGCCCAGTGCCGCCCCCACCAGCTGCGCCCCCAATGGCTGCGTTCCATGCCGAAAAGTCCAGCCGGCCCTCTCCCTGCAGATACAGGGTCCTGAGACCCAAGAGGCCTGAATCAGAGCTAGCTCCTGAGAGGCCCAGGTGCATGGGGACCAGATCTCCCAGAGCCACCAGCAGAGGGCAGCAACACCCAACTCAGCTCATCCTGGAGCAGGGGAAGCAACTTTGAGGAAGTGGGCACTGGCCCAGCAAACCTGGTTGCAGAGTGTGGGCTCAGCTCCAGGAAGGTGAGCCCCAGGTCAATGGCAGGGGCAACATTTACCTTCCTGTCTCCACCAGGACCAAATGCTCTTTCTTGTCTGAGGTGTCAGCTGCAGAAACCACACCTGGGAGGAGAATTAGTGGACATTTTCATCATTTCCATCTTCATTATAGAGACTATTATTAATTAAATGTTTAAGGTACATAGATGCCAGGCTAGGAGCATTACAAAAAATATTCAGTTGAATCCTATGAGTTATGTACTATTATTCCCATTTTATAGGTGACACATTAAGCCCAGAAAGATTAAGTAACGTGCCCCAGATTAGTTGCTATAAAATGGCAAGGCTGAGCTCAAACCCAGGTCTTTTGTTTCCAAAGGCCTAAAATATTATCTCACATTGTTCCTCTTTTAGAAGAAAGGAAAGCAGTGAAGGTATCCAGCTCCCTCTCCCAGGACCCAACCAGCAAGTGTCTCCAACTAATAATAACATTCATAGGCTGGGCACAGTGGCTCACTCCTGTAATCCCAGCACTTGGGGAGGCTGAGGCAGGTGGATCACCTGAGGTCAGGCATTCAAGACCAGCCTGGTCAACACAATAATACCCTATCTCTACTAAAAATACAAACATTAGCTGGGTGTGGTGGCAGGTGCCTGTAATCCCAGCTACTCGAGAAGCTGAGGCAGGAGAATCCCTTGAACCTGGAAGGTGGAGATTGCAGTGAGTTGAGATCATACCCTTGCACTCCAGCCTGGGGGACAGAGTGAGACTCTGTCTCCAAAATAATAATAATAATAATAATAATATTAATAACATTTATAACATATAACATTTATTGAGCACTTAAAAGATGCCTGTCAGGCTCTACAATGCGTGTTTTAGATGCATTACCCTATCTGAACTTCACTACAGCCCTTTGAGGAAGGTGTTATTTTAAAGATGAGGTAACTAAGGCACAGCGAGGTTAAGTAAACTGTCTAGGGATATACAGCTAGGAAGTGATGGAGGTGGGTCTAAAGGTGGGCAGTTTCCCTTCAGAGCTTGTACCTGAAGCCACTATGTTCTGCTGTTTCCTATAAGAACCTCCAAATAAAAAAGGTCTGTTCCCATGCACCCCCATGGCCACCCTTCATCCCTGTCCCCCCCTCCCTCCCCACTTACTGATCTCCTGTAGCCGCCGCAGATGCACCATGTCCTCAGGGGCTGGGGGGCCAGGGCCCGGCGCTGAGCACAGGAAGAGGTGATCACCACGAAGGAGGCCGAACCCTGACAGCCAGAGACCAGGGGCTGGGGCTGTATGGGAAGGGGACCGCAGCCATAGGCGGCCCAGCCGCAGCAGCCCTGGGCCCAGCAGCTGGTGGCAGCTCAGCGGGGAAAACCACTGTAGAGGCAGAGGGAGGACAGGAGAGAGGAGGATGGGGAAAGAGACAAGGAGTAGGGGAGAGAAATGAGAGTGACCAGGATAGGGAAAAGCATAGAAAAATACGAAGAGAAAGCAGAAGAAAAACAGGAATGAAAAGGGATGGGAGAGAGCAAAGGCAAGAGCCAAGGAGGAGACATGAGATGGATGGAGAAAGACAGGAAAGAAATTCAATTTAATTCAGTTTACTCTCCCCAACATAGAGAAGACCCCCGTGTGGCAGCTTTGTACTCTTAATTGAGGTGTGGGTGTAAGAAAGAATACTTATTCTTGTGCAGTGCCGTGATCATGGCTCACTGCAGCCTCGACCTCCCCCAGCTCAGGTGATCTTCCCACCCCAGCCTCCTGAGTAGCTGGACTACAGGAGCACGCCACCACACCTGGTTTTTTTTGTAGAGATGTGGTTTTGCCATGTTGCCCAGACTGCTCTTGAACTCCTGCCTTGGCCTCCCAAAGTGTTGGGATTACAGAGTTGAGCCACTGCACCCAGCTAAAAAGGCATACTCATTCTTTATAGCCAATACTACACCTGAAGACTTATGATGCCCTGGGAAATCTCACCACCCCAGGGGGCTGGGGAGAAACTTCATGGAGGAAAGGGTGCTTGAGGTCGATTGTAAAGCAGTGCTTCTCAAACTACCTGCAGTAAAGGACCAGGATTTTCTTCCTTTTTCCTTTTTAAAGTCGCACAGTGTCACTAACCAATACTGTACTTTCTTTCTTCCTTTTATTTGAAATGGAGTTCTGCTCTTCTTGCCCAGGGTGGAGTGCAGTAGCGTGATTTCGGCTCACTGAAACCTCTGCCTCCTGGGTTCAAGTGATTCTCCTGCCTCAGCCTCCAGAGTCGCTGGGACTACAGGTGCCCACCACCACACCCAGCTAAGTTTTTATATTTTTCGTAGAGATGGGGTTTCACTATGTTGGCTAGGCTGGTCTCAAACTCCTAACCTCAGGTGAACCACCCGCCTTGGCCTCCCAAAAAATTGGGATTATAGGCATGAGCCACCACACTCAGCTAATACTGTACTTTCATTAAAAATAGTAAAAGTGGCCAGGCTTGGTGGCTCAAGCCTGTAATTCTAGCACTTTGGGAGGTCAAGGCAGGCGGATCACCTAAAGTCAGAAGTTTGAGACCAGCCTGGCCAATATGGTAAAACCCTGTCTCTACCAAAAATACAAAAATTAGCTGGGCGTGATGATATGCACCTATAGTCCCAGGTACTCAGGAGGCTGAGGCAGGAGAATCGCTTGAACCCAGGAGATAGAAGTTGCAGTGAGCCGAGATCTTGCCACTGCACTCCAGCCTAGGTGACAAGAGCGAAACTCCAACTCAAAATAATAATAATAATAATAATAATAATAATAATACTAAAAGTGAATTGCTAAAAAAAACTAGATTAAAAAATTAAGACAGACAACCCCACTCCCTTTTTTTGAGACAGGGCCTCACTTTTCCAGGCTGGAGTACAGTGGCATGACACAGCTCACTGTAGGCTCAACTTCTGGGGCTCAAGCAATCCTCCCACCTCATACTCCCCAGTAGGTGAGCACCGTCATGCCTGGCTAATTCTTTTATTTTTATTTATTTTTATTTTTGAGACGGAGCTTCACTCTTGTTACCCAGGCTGGAGTGCAATGGCGCGATCTCGGCTCACCGCAACCTCCGCCTCCCGGGTTCAGGCAATTCTCCTGCCTCAGCCTCCTGAGTAGCTGGGATTACAGGCATGTGCCACCATGCCCAGCTAATTTTTTGTATTTTTAATAGAGACGGGGTTTCACCATGTTGACCAGGATGGTCTCGATCTCTTGACCTCGTGATCCACCCGCCTCGGCCTCCCAAAGTGCTGGGATTACAGGCTTGAGCCACCGCGCCGGGCCTTTTATTTTTTTTGTAGAGACAGGGTCCCTCCATGTTGCCCAGGCTGGTCTCAAACTCCTGGTGCTCCCCCCGGCTCAGCTTCCCAAAGTGCTGGGATTTACAGGCACCATGCGTGGCCCAAGCCTTTTTTTTTTTTTTTTTTTTTTTTTTAATAATTAGATTTGACACATAAAATTACTCTGTCAAATTGCTATAAAATATTCTAAATGCTTACTCTCAATTTCTGTGCTTATCCTGTCATGGACCATAACACATAGTCCATGGACTAGTATGGTGTGACAGTCTTCACAGCACCCTCTGGGTAGGATGGGATAGCTTTTTGGAAAGTGTAGATAATAATGAGAAGAGACTTAAACCTGGTTGGGTGGGCCACGACAGAGCCCTGAAAAGATATGGAGACAACGTATTAGTGTGAGGAGTTGTAGGAGGCCTGGGGGAGGGGGGTCAAAAGCCCGAGCAGTGGAGCATTTCCCACAGAGGAGCGCCAGATGCTGCAGAGGTGACCTGGTGAGGCCGGGAGGCAGCCTTGGCCTTTGGAAATGGGAAGGCACCGGTGACCTGCAGGGTAGCAGTTCAAGAGGGCATGGGCAGAGGAGGACAGCTGCAAAGGGTCAAAGGGGAACTGCAGGCTGCACGCGACTTTCTGACGCATTCTCAGGAGGGCAAGGAAGGCACCAGGGTGAAAAGTTGAAGACGGAACAGAGCTTAGGGAAAAGCTGTCTTAGGATGGGAGGGACTGTCATCATCATCGTCATCGTCACTACCATCATTATTATTTCAACGCCCACATACTGAGGGCTTGCTGTGTGTGGGCCTCACATGTCATTTAATCCTCAACCCTAGGGGGTGAGTCTTTTACGCCCACTCTACAGATGTGGAAAAGCTCACAAGGCTGAGAGTTGTGAGATTCAAATCCTAGGATGTCTGACTCCAGGGCCTGAACTTTAAATTCTGGGAACGGCATACAGGAGGGACATGTGGGCTTATCTAAGAATGGAGAAGCTGGGAAATAGGAAGATAGCTTTGTCTCTGGGCCTGCTGGAAAACCGGAGCAGAAGGTGGGTAGTGGGAATCAGAGGTAGCTCCTGTGTGGGAAGAGGCCACGGCACAGTGAAGTTTCGGGCATGAGCTTTGCAGAGGCCCGATTTTTAGTCCTGTGCTCTGCTGTCTCCTAGCTCTGTGACCTTGACCAAGTGAATTCGTAAACTCCAAGACTTAGTTTCCTTATATGTAAAACTTTACCTCTGAGGGTTGTGAAAATTAAATGAGATATCAAGTGGGCAATGCTCAACACAGGACTTGGCACAGAATAGGTGCGCAGTCACCCTTGGCTGTTAGTGGAAGAAGTGGCTGTAGGAATAAGAGAGAAGATGGGAGCCTGTGGGGACGAGGAAGTCATGAGCTGCTGCAGAGGGGGCTCTCCTGTCTCACCTTGCCCACAGCACTAGTCCAGGCCTCCAGACTGTCAGCTCCATCTGTGCCAAAGTGCTGGATCCTCCCCCCAGTGAGGATGAGTTCAAAGGAAAAGGGGAACCTGGAGAGAAGATGAGGTCAGGGAGGCGAATGGAGCCAGTGAGGGAGGCTGTCAGGCTGGAGGTTGGGAAGAGAAAAGGGGAAGCTCCGTGAGCACGGAGGGGCTGTTACCTGTCAAGGTCACCTGGGTCAGTGGGCGGAGGGCTCACGCCCAGACATACAACATCCTGGGGCTGTATGAGGCTGAGGGGTTCAGGGCTGTTTTCTGATGCAAACGTTTCCAGAGCTGCTCCCAGCACACACCATAGGCGGGGGGGAGCTGAGGTGGAGGTAGATGGTCAGGGGGCAAGCAGACCTCTGGGCCCACCCCTTCATAGTTCCCATTTACCAGATATTTATTCTGTGCCAAGCCCTCTGCCTATGTATGATCCCAGTCATCTTCACAATAACCCTGTGACGTGTTATACTTAGTCCTGTTTTGCAGATGGGGAAACTGAGACTCAGTTTCAGTAGCTTGCCCAAGACACATAGGAAGTAGCAGAGCTGGGATGTGACTCCGACAGTCTGACTTCAGAACAGACGCTCTGAACTATCACTCAATGCTGCCACCTGGCATGGTCCCTCTCTCACCCCCAGGACCCCATCCCACTCCTAGGCACGGCCCCGTTTTCCAATCCAGCCCTCTCCTCCTTGTCCCTCTACAGTAAACTCAAATCCATCCACTTTCTGTCACTGTATCTTCCCATCCCTTGGCTCCCCCTCACCATCCCGGCCCCTGCGAGGGGGTGAGGGTCCAGCTTTGTTGCTGATGGGACTGCAGTACAGGAAGCCGCTGTAAGTGGCAGGCACTACCACCTCATTGTACACACCAGGGGAGGGGTCTGCAAGGGGAAGGGAAAGCAGTCAGCTGAACCAAGTGCAGTGGGATCACCTGAGCCCCTCTGGGGAAGGGATGAAATGGAGGAAGACGGTGGGACCCGACTCCACCGGAAGCACAGCCAAGTAGAGCTCAAAGGAGCTAAATCCCTCACTACCCAGACTGCAAAGGAGAGAGGCCGGAGGTAATGAGACAGGGAGGCCTCTGGCCCAGCCCCTGCCCACTGCCTCTCCCCACCAGCCACCAACCAGGCTGTTAGCTCTGGGTGGGCACCTCAGGGCATGTGCCATCCTGTAAGGGTCTCAAGCCCAGCTGGCCTGACCAATGGAGACGAGTGTCACTAAGTTGATCACTTCTTTGAGATCAGACTGTCGCCAGGGACATGAGTCCTGACCTATGGGTCAGCCTGTCAGGGTGGACCAGCACTAGTACCTGGAAGACGCAGACCCTCCCCAGCCATAACCATCATTAGCTATCGAATGACAACAGGAAATAGGCCCTGGCGGATCTGAGGGTTTAGGAAATGGCCCAGGCTGGGCCACTCTGATCGGCTAATTGAGGCCCCCCTGAAAGAACGGAATCACAGGTTGGATCAGAGGATTCCTGGGAGAGGGGAGAGAGGAAGCACTTGGGGGGGTGACCTGGGGGCAAGAGGCTGGGGCAGCTGCCATCGAGGGCTGGGGGGGACCAGGGATCCTCGCCCTCGAAGGCCTCAACACAGAGGAGCTGGGTCATGTTCTTCAGCAGGTTGGGTCCTGCCACGGCTGCACACAGGGCCTGCAGGGAAGGAGGGGCCTCTGTTAGCCCCAAAAGCCAACCTGAGAGCCCCGGGGACAGTTGTATGACTGCCGAAAACAGCCCCCACCACCCAAATCTAGGCATTCCAACTCAGAGAGTATTTCCTGACCCCCCACCCCCAGCCCAGATCAGCCCCACTCTGTCCCTCCTACCTGGAGAAGCTGGCTATGATCTGGGTACTGAGGGTGGGGCTTCCGGAAGAGGCCCAGCCGGTACTTTCGGGAGATGAACTCTCCCCGGGGGCCAGGGGTCGCATCTGGATGCAGTCCCTCACCTGGGGGTAGGCTCCCTGCCCAGAATCGGTTGGCACGATTATTTCCCAGGACAATGAACAACTGTGGGATGACAAGGGGCAAAGGCAGCTGACAGGAACTCAAGAGTCCTCAGATGTTCCATTCCTGTCCCCAGGCTGGCCCAAGGCCTGCCTCTGGATGCTCCCTTCCACCCCTCCCACCATCCCCCTCTTCCACCCCCTCACCTGCACTATCTCATTACTCCAGACACTCGTGTCCAACTTCAGGCTCTGCACCTTGGAGATCCCGGAACCCAGGGCCCGGTGCTGACCTGTGAGGGTGTGTGAGGGTGTGAGGGGCATGAGGCATGGGTGCCCTGAGCCCTCCAGTCCCAGCCCCTCCTGTTCCCCACAGGGCCTCGACGCCAGTCCTCACCTGCACACTGCTTGCAGATGACCACCCCCAAATTGACAGCAGCCCAGTCTGGTCGAGAGGCCCCACAGTCCGCACAATGCCGGTTGGCCCGATTAGACCAGATCTTCTCGGCCACCTCGTAGTCAGACAGTGTCTCGGTTACTGCTTCCTGCAGAGCGGCCGCCCAGCTCTGCCGAGCACCCCCAGACTCAGCTGTGAAGCTGAGGGGTGGACAGCCAGTTCATGGGCTTGGACCTCGCTGCCATGTCCCATCCCCTGGCCCTTCCTGCAGGAGCCACCACAGGCCACACCTAGGGCAGCCCAGACCTTTGTGACATCTTGACCCAGTTCACTGGACTACCATCCCTGCACACCCACTGACATCCTACTGAGGAGGCCTCCAGTCCTCTGTACCCCTAAGAGTCCTCCCCAAAACGTCCCCCAGCCTTGCCTCCCACTGGTCCAGGCCCCACCTGAAGCAGCGATGGGGTGTGAGCAGGTCAAAGCTTCTACTCTTGGTCTCCCGGACGCTGCAGCCCTGCAGCTCGATGAAGCAGATCCCGATGCCCAGAGAGAAGGCCTGGTGGGGTCACGGTGGGTATCGTGAAGTCCCAGAAGGGACGAGTTCAGGCCCCTCAGCCCTGACCCGACTCTCCTCACCTGCTCACTCTTGTACAGTGCTAGCTCTCCAGGGCTCAAGGCAGCAAACACCTTGGCCTTGTGTCCACGAAGCTCCAGCATGCCGGTGCGGAGAGGTCGAGGCGGCTGCGGGGGCCGGGGGTGGCCCAGGAGGCGCTGTTCCTTCAGGCAGGACTGCAGCGTGGAGCACCACGTGTCCCGCTGAGCTGGTGGGGATGGAGAGGCAGGTCAGTGGCTGTTGCTCACACAGCCTCCCTCCCTCCCTCCTGCCCTGACCCAGGGGGCTGTGGCCCTCACCCTCGCTCTCTGTGCGGAACACGAACACCCTCTGGCCGGTGATGACCTGGAACTTGTTGTCCTTGCTGCTGCGGGTCATCTCAATGGCAGTCAATGGGATCACACCCTTAGGGAAGGGGTCCTGGAGAGAGAGCTCAATAACCTATGAGGACAGGAACTGAGCCATGTGTGCCAACCCCTGGGTCCTGCACCAGCTTTTATGAGATTGGCATTCAATACACAAGCAGTGGGTACAGCTGCTAAGCCAGCTACTTTAAATGCTGACATCGGTCATGCAGTCACCACCTCCCCACCATGGGCTTCCCTCCTTCCAATACTGAGCCCCTCTCAGCCCTCCCTCTCCCTCAGCTCCATGTCACATATCCCAGCCCCCTCACCTTGTCACTGCCAAAGTACATCAGACTCCTCCCGTTGAACTGCACAAAGCGTCTCTGGAAGACGTAGTTTCTGAGAAAGGAAGGAGCCAAGATCAGTATTTGGGGTTGCACAGGGGTACGGAGATCACAGGGTCTGGAGGCACTTGGAGCCTCTCCCCCACAACCACCTCCCAGCCTTTCACTTCTCCCTCCCTTCCCCTCCCAGCGCCCACCCCTGAGGGGAGAGCTTGTCTAGCCAGCCACTGAGCAGGGGCATGGGACGGTCTGCTGTGCAGGAGAAGCTGGCATAGGGTGAAATGAGGTCATCACTGGTCTCCTCTGTGTCCAGGGTGGGCGGTGAGAGGGTGGAATCTCCAGGCAGCTCAAGGCTGGCATAGCCAGCGTCCTCCCGTGCCTCCAGATCCTGCCTGCTGAGCCTTGTGGGGGCCAAGACGGGGAGGGACACACATTAGACAAGTACCCTGGATACCCTCTTTGTAATTTCTCCACCCTACTCATGTCACCTAATAATAGAATGCCTGGCAGGTACTGGATCTGCTTTTCTTTTTCTTTCTTTTTTTTCTTTTCTTTTTCTTTTTTTTTTTTTTTTTTTGAGATGTAGTTTTGCTCTGTTACCCAGACTGGAGTGCAATGGTGCAATCTTGGCTGACCGAAACCTCTGCCTCCCAGGTTCAGGTGATTCTCCTGCCTCAGCCTCCCTAGTAGCTGGGATTACAGGCATGCACCACCACACCTGTCTAATTTTGTATTTTTAGTAGAGATGGGGTTTCTCCATGTTGGTCAGGCTAGTCTTGAACTCCCAACCTCAGGTGATCCGCCTGTCTAGGCCTCCTAAATCTGAGATTATAGGCGTGAGCCACTGTGCTTGGCCTCTTTTGAGACAAGGTTTCTCTCTCTCTCTCTCTCTCTGCTGCCCAGGCTGAGTGCAGTGGTGCAATCATGGCTCACTGTAGTCTTGAACTTCTGGGCTCAAGGGATCCTCCCACCCTGAGCAGCTGGGACTACAGGCATATACAGGCCACCACACCTGACTACTTTTAAAATTTTCATCTTTAGTAGAGATGAGGTCTCGCTATGTTGCCAAGGCTCGTCTCAAACTCCTGGCTCAAGTGATCCTCTCACCTCAGTGTCCCAAATTGCTGGGGTTACAGGTGTGAGTTACTGTGCCCAGCCTGGATCTGCTTTTCAAACAGGAGAATAGGGAGGTTCAAAACCCAAAGATTACCATGGAGCTGCTTCCCTGAGAATACTTGGAATTTTTACTGGGAAAATTTCAGCCCATTTCCTGTGCCAGTAGTATGACTTGGATGGAAAAGTTTGGGAAGGGCTATGTAAATGACTCCCTGTCATGGTTGCCCGTGGCTAATCAGTATGTCTTGGCTCTTTCTCCAAAAAGTTCTTGACTGCTCCCTGGACCAAGTTCCCATCAACTTGGGTGATGCAAATTGCCTAACTGGCCACCTGCTTTCACTCTTGACCTCCCTCCCATAATCATTCTCCCATAGCCACCAGAGTGCTCTTTTAAAAATGGAGATGAAGTGGCCGGGCGCAGTGGCTCACACCTGTAATTCCAGCACTTTGAGAGGCCAAAGCAGGCGGATCATGAGGTCAAGAGATCGAGACCATCCTGGTCAACATGGTGAAACCCCATCTCTACTGAACTAATACAAAAATTAGCTGGGTATGGTGGCATACACCTGTAGTCCCAGCTACTCAGGAGGCTGAGGCAGGAGAATTGCTTGAACTTGGGAGGCAGAGGTTGCGGTGAGCTGCACTCATTGAACTTGAACTTGCGCCACTCCAGCCTAGCGCCTGGCGACAGAGTAAGACTCTGTCTCAAACAAACAAACAAACAAACAAAACCTGGAGATGAGGCTGGCTGCAGTGACTCCTCATGCCTGTAATCCCGGCACTTTGGGAGGCCAAGGCGGGCTGATCATGAGCTCAGGAGATCGAAACCATCCTGGCCCAACATGGTGAAACCCCGTCTCTACTAAAAATATAAAAATTAGCCAAATGTGGTGGCGTGTGCCTGTAATCCCAGCTACTCAGGAGGCTGAGGCACGAGAATCACTTGAACCCGGGAGGCAGAGGTTGCACTGAGCTGAGATCATGCCACTGCACTCCAGCCCAGCAACAGAGAGAGATGCCATCTCAAAAAAAAAAAAAAAAAAAAAAAAAAAAATGCAGATGAGACCATTTTACTCCCCTCCAGGAAGCCCTTCAATAGCATCTCATTTGCACTTAGGTTAGACCCAAATTCCAATGGCTGTGAGAACTTGTACAGTGAGGCCCATGGCCACTCCCCTGACCTCACTCAGTGTTGCCCCCGCCCTTGCTTACAGCCACATTCTCCTTCCTGTTTCAGGGCCTTTGCACATGCTCTTCCCTCTACCGGGAACTTGCCTCCTTCCATGCTTCCCTGGGCTGCTTTTTCTCATCCTTCAGGTCTTTGCTTATGTCATCTTTTCAGAGATGCCTCCCTTAACTGCCCTGAGTAGATTCCTCTATTATTCTCTATCACCTTCCAGGGGTTCTCAACCCTAACAGCACAAAATCACTTGGGAAACTTTAAAAAATATCAGTACATGGGCTCCACACCAGACACTTAAATGTGAATCTCTGGGAGTAGAGCCCAGGCACTTGTAGCTTTAAAAGTTCCCCAGCCTATGATACAGGTAAGGTTGAGAACTGCTACTCCAACTTCTGTGTTTCCTACTTCACTGAGAAATTGAAGTAATCAGATGAGAACCCCCGCAGACTCCCAGTGCCATGTTTACCCAATTTCACATACATCTTCTGTCTTCCTCCTGTGACTATAATAAACACCCCTGTCTAAAGCCAGATCCTCCTCTGTGCACTTAATCCTATTTCTCTCACTACGCAATCACTCTAGACACCCCCCACTCTCCTCTCCCCTACATAACTAACAGTCCCTCCCTCCCAGATCATTCCTATTCACCTACAAAGCTATGTAACATTGCACCCAATTAAACACTCTTTTCTTGGCTCCACTTCCACTAGCAACAATCGTTCCAACTCTCTGCTCTTCTTCACAGAAAAATTCCTCAAAAGACACTCTCTATACATTTCTGTTCTCTCTTAAAACCCACTCTGATTGGGCTTTCACCCCATTACTTCAAGGCTACACCTGTCAAGATCCCCAGTCACCTCCAATTCCAAGGGTTATTCTAAGTCCTATCATACACAGCAGCAGACCCCTCAGCCGCATAGGACATAGCTGGCCTCTCCCTTCTTCTACTTTCTTCACTCTTCTCCTATGACATCACATTCTCTGACTTTCTACTTTGCTGTCTGTTTCTCTTCTGTTTTGCGGATTCTTCCTCTTCTCCCAAACCGCTAGATATGGGAGTGCACGAGGGCTTTGAGTTTGGTCCTCTTCTCTATCTGGACTCACTCACAGCTCTACGCACCCATCTAAGTGCTGACAACTCCCAAGTTTAGGTCTCCAGCTCCGACCTCTCCCCAGACTCTAGACTGGTCTATCTCGTGGTCTATTCTTCACCTCTTCTTGAAGGCATAACTTACACCTCAAACAACACGTCCAGAACTGCACCCCCAATCTACCCTCACCTCCCACCTGCCTTAGCACAGTCTTCCCCATCTCAGACCATGGCAGCTCCAGAAACTTTCAGGTGCTCAGAACAGTGCTGTCCCGCAGAAGTCAATGTGAACCAAGTACGTAATTTTAAATTTTCTAGTAGCCACGTTTAAAAAAATTAAAAGAAACAAGTGAAATTAATTTTAATAATATATTTTATTTAACCCAATATATCCTAAACATTAACATTTTAGTATGTAATCAACATAAAAATTACTAAGATAATTTATGTTTATATTTGTTATATTCATCCAGTATTGCTTTTTCTCATATTGTCTTTGAAATACAGCAGGTGTTTTACATTTATTGTGCATCTCAATGGAGACTAGCCACATTTCATAGGCCCAGTAGTCACGTGTGGCTAATGGCTACCATACTGGTCAGCACCAGCTCAAATGGAAGCCCTCAAAGTCATTTTTCATTTCTCTTTTTTCTCACAGAAGAATGGAGAGGCCAATTGACAGTTTGCCTTCAAAATAGAGCCACTTCTCATCATATCCACTACTAACACTATACTCTGAGGTCTCTCACCTCCATTACTGCAAAAACCTCCCAACTGGTCTCTCTGCTTCTTCTCCTTTTGCCCCTACAGACCACTCTCCACACAGCAACCCGGGGAATCCCTTTATAAAGTCAAAACTCCTCCAATGGCTTCCCATTTCACATAGAGTAAAAGCCAAAGTCCCTACAAGCTCTTACCTTATCTGGCCCCTTGTTTTAATTTTTTCATTTGTTTGCTGGTTTTGGTTTTGGTTTTGAAACAGGGTCTCACTCTGTTGCCCAGGTTGCAGTGCAGTGGCATGATCTCACTGCAACCTCCGCCTCCCGGGTTCAAGCAATTCTCCTGCCTCAGCTTCCCCCTAGTAGCTAGGACTACAGGTGTGTGCCACCACGCCTGGCTATTTTTTGTATTTTTAGTAGAGACGGGGTTTCACCATGTTGACCAGGCTGGAATTGAACTTCTGACCTCAGGTGATCCTCCCACCTCTGCCTCCCAAAGTGTTGGGATTACAGGCGTGAGCCACTGTGCCAGGCCCTTATCTGGCCTCTTTAACCTCTCTGACTTCATTTCCTGCCATTCTTCCCACCCTGGCCCATCTGCCCCAGCCAAGCTGCCCTGGCCTCCTCACTGCTCCTGGATTGAGGAGGCCACTCCCCCTGCCTGGAGCCCTCTTTACCCACATATCTTCATGGCTAACTCCTTCAGCTCCTTAAAGTTTTTAATCAAATGTCATCTTCTTAATGCTCTGCTAACTGTAAATGAAAAATTGCAGTCCATTCATTTTGTTCCTCAGCCCTCCCTTCACCTTTTTTTTTTTCTGAGACGGAGTCATGCTCTGTCACCCAGGCTGGAGTGCAGTGGCACTATCTTGGCTCACTGCAACCTCCACCTCCCAGATTCGGGCAATTTTCCTGCCTGAGCCTCCTGAGTAGCTGGGATTACAGGTGCCTGCCACTGTGCCCAACTAATTTTTTTGTAGTTTTAGTGGAGCCAGGATTTTACCATGTTGGCCAGACTGGTCTTGAACTTTTGACCTCGTGATCCACCTGCCTCAGCCTCCCAAAGTTCTGGGATTACAGGTGTGAGCCACTGCGCCCAGCTCTTTTTTTTGTTTTTTTTCCCCGAGTCGCTACTACCTCCGCCTCCCGGGTTCAAGCAATTCTCCTGCCTCAGCCTCCCAAGTAGCTGGGATTACAGGCATCCACCAGTGCTCCCAGCTAATTTTTGCATTTTTAGTAGAGCTAGGGTTTCACCATGTTGGTCAGGTTGGTCTTGAACTCCTGACCTCATGATCTGCCTGCCTCGGCCTCCCAAAGTGCTGGGATTACAGACGTGAGCCACTTGCGCCCAGCCAGTCCCCCACCCCTCTTACTCTGCTTTATTTTTTCCATGGCACTTAACGTCTTTTAACATTCTATAGTATTTAGCATATTATGTTTATTGTTAATGGATTATCTTCCCACAAGGGCAGGGAATTCTGTGTACACTGATCTATGCCAAGCATCTACATCTGGCATATGATAGTTACTCAATAAATATTTGTTGAATGAACAAACGAAAAACACTTCTCCTGACCAGGCACAGTAGCTCATGCCTATAATCCTAGTATTTTGGGAGGTCAAAGCAGAAGGATCACCTGAGGTCAGGAGTTCGAGACCAGCATGGCCAACGTGGTGAAACCCCATCTCTACTAAAAATACAAAAATTAGCCAGGTGTGGTGGCGTGCACCTGTAATTCTAGTTACTAGGAAGCCTGAGGCAGGAGAATCACTTGAACCCAGGAGGCGGAGGTTGCAGTGAGCCGAGATCACACCACTGCACTCCAGCTCGGGCAACACACTCCATCTCAAACAAACAAACAAAAAATCACAAAGAATTCTGCGGACCACTTGCACAGCTGACCATTTAAACCTGGAAAACCTCCCACACAGAATAATTCTGCTTAAAACTTCAGGGAGTGTGCTGTGTGACAGAGTGAGACCCCGGCTCAAAAAAAAGAAAAAGAAAAGCACTTCTCCCAATTTTCCATTTTATGAGTGGATACATCATGGCCACCGCCGACTCAACAGCTCCTCCCTCCCATCACTTCCCTACTTAGTACTCACCTGTGTTCAGCCCTGTCCTGACAAACACCTCTGCCCTCTCTTCTGTCGGGGGCCCCTGGAGTCCCCACAGGCTGGACACCATAGTACAGGCAACCAGGATCCATGATGTGTACTGGCAGGAGAAGAGAGGGACGCACGGGGAAGAGGAGATCGCTGGGAGTGTATGAGATCCTGAGGGTACTATCCCTCTCCCGGCAACCCTCGATAACCCGGGTTACCTGTGCCTGTTGTGGGCCTAAGGGCAGGGATGGGGGCAGCGGTTTGGGAGCTGTCTGGAGCCCTGAAGAGAAAGATCTATTGGTTACTTAGGAAGAGAGGAGGAAGAACAAGCCTTCATGCCCAGCTCCCCACCTCCGTCCCCTTCAAGCCCTGCTCCCCACTCCCCCCAGCATCAGCCCCCAGGGAGCCAACCCCACTCACTTGTCCTGAGCTGCCTGTGCCCTGCCTCTTAAGTCCAGGCCAAAGTAGATGGAATTAGGCATCATCTCCACAGTATTTAGGGCTGAAGACTGCTCAGAGGAGGAGGAAGTAGGGAGAGGAGGGGGCCTTGGGCTGGGCTCTGGGCTCTTGGACACTCCCGGTCCCCAGAGGGCTGGGCTCAGTCCAGGTCTCTGAGTGGTGGCAGGGCCACTGAGTCCACCAAACACTGTCCTGGGCTTCGGAACGGGCTTGGGGGGCTGGGCTTGGGGGGCTGGGCTGGGGGATGGTTCCATGGCACTATCTGATTTGGGATCCAGGGAGACCTCTGCGGTGCCTGTCTGCAGCAGGCGCAGAATGCGTTTCCGGTGCCCTGTGGCGCTGATGCCCAACTGCTTCAGCTCCTCATGGCCCAGGCCCCGGGCTGCACCTGCTGTAGCCAGGCCATGCCGTCGGAACGTGTCTGCGTACTGCTCCAGGTGCACCGTGGCCAGCCACACAGCGATGTCCAGGTCCTGAGGGGCAGCCATGGGGGCTCAGGCCATTGCTGAGGGAGGGGCAGGGTGAAGGGAGGGCTCAGGCTGAGATTCCCCCTCCCTGCCCCAAAGTCTGGGGCCTGGACAGTGAGCAGTAGCCTCCAATTTTCCTCCAAAGAAAGATCCTGAAAGGCCTGCAATCTGGAAGCAGAGCCATCCCAGAACAACAGAAATGGCTCTTTACTTAGGGAAGGGGCTTCATTTGAAGTGGAGGAAACAGGCCCACAGAGGGGGAAGGGGCTTGTCCCAGGTTCGCAGCAAGTCAGTGCTAATGTTGGCCCCCAGCTTCTGCCCACCCTGGGTCTAGGTCAAAGCTCTGCCCCTACCTGACTGTACATCAAACTGCGTAAGCATGGGACAAGATGCTAGAATGCTGCTGGGGCAGAGTGAGGTAGGGAGGTGTGGAGAAGGGGCGAATGATGTGGCCAGATCAGCTGTGGACTAAGGTGGGGAGAGGGGCCGCTTAGGTAGGAGGAAGGAGCTGCAGACCCCACTCCCTCTTGTTTCCAGAGCTGAGGTATGCAGGCCTGCCATCCTAATCCTGGTTGTTCCCAGTCCCTCCTCCCCTTCCACCTATTGTCTCTGCTCAGACTTCCTTCCTGTCCCTCCAGCCCTGGCCGCCCCCACATCCTGTCTGCCTTGGTCAGGCTACCCAGAGAGCCCTAACCAGTCCTAACATGTGGGGTCCCAGCCCTGGGTGGAGGCTACTTTAAGAATAAGGATGGGGGCAGAGAACCAGGCCAGAGAGATGAGAGACCAGAGGTCAGGGGTACTCCAGAGGCTTCTGGACTCTCCATCCACGGGCGGCATGTTCACATGCTGTTCATATGTGTGTGCACATGCCTTGTAGCGACTCGGCAGTGCGAAATGCCATCCCCCCACCTCTGCTTTCTCCAAGCCTTCCTTTTCTGAGCCTGTCTTTTCCCTGCCCATTCCCTTGGGCTCAGATCTCTGTGCTCTGTCCCCTCCCGCCAGCCTGACCCTAACCCTGGTCTATTTCGTATACCTGTCTCTAATTCTGTGGCCCCTGAGTTTTATCTCTGCCTTGTCCCTGTCCCTGCCCCACTCCAACTCAACCTCTCAATCCATCTTTGTCCCTCTCTTTGTCCCACCCTCTTTTGCTCTCTGTTGTTAAGCCTGTCCTTGATTCAGTCTCCAATTCTAACCAGATCTTAAGTTGTATCTGTGTCTCTGTCCACCTCTGAGCCTGGGTTTCTGTGTCCGCCTCTGCCTGCGCGGCTCTCTCCCTGCTGCTCTTGTGCTCTGTCGGTGACCAGGACGCCCCCTCCGTCCCAGCATCAGTGCTGGCCTCCCTCTGCCACTCTTCAGCTGGGCCTCATTCCCAAGCCAGGGCCAGGGTGCTGAGCCTGGGGGCCTGAGTCAGGGCTCGGCTTCCCGGTGACTCAGGCCCGGCTCGAGGGCACGGGACTGGGAGCCGAGGTGCTCGCGGGACAGGAGTGGCGGGGGCGGGGCGGGCAGTCGCGGGCAGCACAGGCTGCAACGAGGGAGGGGGCGAGGAGGGACCGGGCAGAGGCCGGGCAGAGGCCGAGCAGCAGGAGGGAGGGGCGGGTCGTGGCGGGGAGAGGGAGGGCCGCCGGCGCCGAGGGGGCCCTGTGAGCCCACGAAGGTCCTGGAAGAAGGTGATGGGGAGGAGTCTGGGAAGCAGGGACCCGGGGGGCGCGGGGGTCCTCACCTCACTACGCGGCCGCCGTCCGCTCGCGGGTGCCCGCCGCGCGTCCGAGGCTCCGGGTCCCGCCGCGCCGACCCCGCCTCCTCTCTGCCCTCCCCCGACGGGCCCAGCCCCGCCCCGCCCCGCCCGGCCGGTTCCCTCCGCTGGGCCCCGGCCACTCCTTGTGCAAGCGCAGGCCTTCAAAGGGTTTGGGCTCCTTGCCCAACCGCCCTGCTTATCTCCGGGTCTGCCTGTCTGCCCTCTCGCAGGCCGAGAAGGGACCGGAACACGTTGGGACCGAGACAGCCTCAGGGAGAGGGACAAAGAGGCAGAGACCAGGACGGAGATGGGGATGGAGGTAGAAGCCGAGAAAGGGAGAGCGCCAGGGACGGCTTTGCATCCTCTCCGCTGCTCCCACGCCCTCCAGTCCTGCCAAAAGGGAGGAGGAAGGGTCAAGCGCTAAGCCCCTAGGACACCTCTCCCACGCCCAGCAGGGTGGCTGGACCCTGGCAAGCTGGACATCAGAATTCATGGGAAGCCACAGCCTTCCAAGCTGCCCAGAGACTTGGCCTGGGCAACAAGCGCAGACACCCAGCAGAGGGGTCCCCATCTGCTTCTCCCCACCCCAATCCCCAAGGGTCCAGCCTAGGTTCCTCCGAGGGATGCCGGTCGGGTCTGCAAGGCAACATCCCTACTTCCAAACCAAGGTTTGAGGCTGCCGTTTGGGGGCAGGCGGTTCCCTGAAAGCGCAGTGACCAAGCAAGCAGCCGTTTCATTCGTGGGAGAAGCCCACTCTCCCACCCTAAAATTTCAGGGGGAATGTGGGGGAGGCCTGAGGAGAAACGGCTCCTCTCTCCTCCCCCCATCTTGTCCCGACGCCAGTCCTGGAGCCTGTCTCCCAGGGGCCCAGGCACTTCCCCCTCCCAGCCGGGCCAGTGTTTGGCCGTGTTTGTGTGTGTGTGTGTGCGCGCGTGTGTGTGTTGGAGGTGGGGGGGGGGCGCTGGCCGGCTGTGTTTTCCTGCGTGTGTGTGTGTGTGTGTGTGTGTGTGTGTGTGTGTGTTGGAGGTGGGGGGGAGGGGGCGCTGGCCGGCTGTGTTTTCCTGTTTGTATGAGAGGAAGTTGGCTGTGAGTCAGCAGACACAGGAACTGTCAGTAGCAAGGGGAAGACCCCTGCCTCAGGGGAAGAAGAGGGGAGTGGGAGGAAGTGGTTCCCACCTCTTCCAGCTGCCCCAGCTAGGAGAGGGACTGTCATCTTCAGCCTCTTGGAACCCCCTTTCCCTGGTCTTACCTTTGAGAAAGAGAGTGATAGTAATAAAATAATTAATAATTGCAATGGCCTTAATAGGGGCTATCAATTATTAAGAGCTGACTATGCCCCAGGCTCTATGTAAACATTGCTTTGCAAACTTTAATTAATCTTCACAAATATCCCTGTAAAAAGGAAATTTTATCACCTCTGTTTTACAGATAAGGAGACAGGGAGCATTAGCTAACTTGCTGAAGACCCTGCAGCTAGAAAATAGCCAACTCTCCAAGTCTACACCTATAACTACCATGCTCACCTACCGCCCTGGACAGGACCCCTGCACCATGTCCTTTTTTCTGGATGGGCAGCTGTGGTGGCAGTGAGAATGCTCCTCACAGACCTTACACTATGAGCAGACTTTACCCTGTGAGGAGTGAAATTAACTGCTAGGTGGAGTTGCTGACGCCTGTAATCCCTGCATTTTGGGAGGCAGAGGTGGGCAGATCACTTGAGGTCGGGAGTTCGAGACCAGCCTTACTAACATGGAGAAACCCTGTTTCTACTAAAAATACAGAATTAGCTGGCATGGTCCAAAAGGCCTATAATCCCAGCTACTCTGGAGGCTGTGGCAGCAGAATTGCTTGACCCTGGGAGGTGGAGGTTGTGGTGAACCAAGATTGTGCCATTGCACTGCAGCTTGGGCAACAACTGACAGCGAAACTGTCAAAAAAGAAAGAGAGAAACAGAGAAAGAGGGAAGGAGGGAAGGAAGGAAGGAAAGAAGGAAGGAAGGAAGGAAGGAAGGAAGGAAGGAAGGAAGGAAGGAAAGAAAGAGAGAGAAAATAACCAATGCCCCTACCTGCTTCTCTCTGAAATCTAAGGCCAGCTTTTCACTGGGCTGCTCCCAGCCAATGACAGAGCTCAGCAGAGATCCTAAGGCAGGCCCATTCCTGGGAGATAGGGGACTCCTTTGACAGCTGACTTTGGTTCAAGAATTTCCCAATGCCCGGCGCGGTGGCTCAAGCCTGTAATCCCAGCACTTTGGGAGGCCAAGGCGGGTGGATCACGAGGTCAAGAGATCGAGACCATCCTGGTCAACATGGTGAAACCCCGTCTCTACTAAAAATACAAAAAATTAGCTGGGCATGGTGGCGCATGCCTGTAATCCCAACTACTCAGGAGGCTGAGGCAGGAGAATTGCCTGAACCCAGGAGGCGGAGGTTGCGGTGAGCCGAGATCGCGCCATTGCACTCCAGCCTGGGTAACAAGAGCGAAACTCCGTTTCAAAAAAAGAAAAAAAAGAAAAAGAAATTTCCCAATGGCTTTGCCGATGCTCCTCTCAAACTTCCTTCCTTCCCTCTCTCCTTCACAGCTCTCCCAGCTCCGGGCCCCCTCCTCTCTCACAGGCATCTCCTCCAGTCAAATTCTCAAATTCTGCCTTGGCAGCTTCTTCTTGAAGGACACCCAGCAAGAGACGGGAGCAGCAGGAGATTTCAGGAATGGGTGCTGTGCAGTCCAGATCAGGGGCTAGATGCAGGAGTTCTGAACCTTTTTGTGCCATGTTCCCCTTTGGCAATCTAGTAAAGTATATGGAGGCCCCATCTCAGAATAGTATTTTAAAATCCATAAAATAAAATATATAGGATTACGAAGAAAACCAATTATGTTGTAACACAGTTATAAAACCAATGTGATATAGTAATATATGTGCTTCTTTACTAATGCTTTAAATAAGATCTAGTGGTAGGTTGATACTTCACATAATTTTGACTCAGTGATGAGCATAAACGATATTTGAAAAGATCCGCAATACTGTAATACAATATAAAAATATATGTGACTTCTACTGGTGACAAAGCCATAGTTGTGGCTAAAATGACTGATTTGTTGCTGTTGTCATAATAGAAGGAAATGTTAAATTTCAGCTAGAGATTAGTGAAAGTCATATTCTTTTCTCATCCAAGTCCACTGGCTCCAAGTTAAGGACACCAACGCCAGATGACGGGGCCAAGCAGCAGAGAGGGGCACCTGGCTTCTTCCCTCAGGCCCCACTTCCATCCTTTGGCTCATCGATACGGGATGGGTGGAGGCTTCTGGCCCCTGGCATGTGTCTTGCTTCTCTCTTCATCTCTGGCTCTCTTTCTCAGTTTCTATTCTCTTCTCTCTGTTTGCCTCTATCTCTATTGCTCTGTCTCTCTTCCTATATCTGTCTGTCTCTTTCTTTTCCTGTCTTCCCCTGAGTGTACGTCTATCTTTCATCACTCTCTGAATCTCTTGGTGATGTCCTCTGTGTCTCTCTCTCTCTCTGTGCCTCTATCTGTGTCTGCCTTTCTCTGTCTTCATAATCTGTCTCTGAAGGGATAGGACAGATTCAAGGGTAGCCTGGGTGCAGTGGAGCAAAGAGAATCTATTGCTTCTAAGGTCCCTGGGAGCTAGACGAGGAGGTGATCCTGGGCCTTAGGCTTTGGCCTGGGAAGCACAGGTCTCTTCTTCCCCATCCTCTCTTTCTTTTTTTTCTTTTTCTTTTCTTTTTCCTTTTTTATTTTTATTTTTTATTTTTTGGTTAGAGATGAAGTCTTGCTCCGTCACCGAGGCCGGAGTGCAATGGCACAATCTTAGCTCACTGCATCCTCTGCCTCCTGGGTTCAAGTGATTCTCCCACCTCAGCCTCCAGAGTAGCTGAGACTACAGGCACCCGCTACCATACCTGGCTAATTTTTGTATTTTCAGTAGAGATGGTTTTTACCATGTTGGCCAGGCTGGTCTCAAACTCCTGACCTCAAGTGATCCTCCTGCCTAGGCTTCCCAAAGTGCTGGGATTACAGGTGTGAGTCACCACGCCCTGCCTCCTCTCTTTCATTCTTAGCCTTTATAAGGGCAGAAACAGGTTGCAGGGTATAGAGGCATCCCAGGCCCCAGAAGACAATAGCTAAGACATCTGTGACCTGAATGTGGATACAGTGAGATCTTTGCCCCAACTCCTCTCTTTGGAGCTGTAGCCGAGGGGTCCAGGTGTCACCGCTTTTCTCTGCTCTCCTCCTTCCCTTAGGAGAGCACTGGCCCTGTCTCATGTGAGGGCACAGGGATTCATGAACCTGGCAAAGTCTGTAGCAGACGTGGCCCCTAGGAGATGTGCAAAAGGAAGGTCTGTGAGTTCAACAGAGGAAAGTATGGATTTCTGGGGCTTAATCTTTGAATACTCAAAAATGAGGTAGAGCACCAGGTCAGTCATTCACTTGGATGGATATATGCCTTCAAGATGATTTGGGTGGGGGAGGGCTGTTGGTCTGAGAAATCAGGAAAGGAGAGTGGTCACACATGTCCTGAAAGAGCTGAGGCATCTAAGATAAGAGGCAGGGGTAATGGCAGTGTGAGAGGTGAACCAGGTCATAGGAATGGGATTGAAATTGAGTAGCAGGGGTGGCTAGCACCCCTCGGAGGGTTTCTTCCCTAGGAGGCTATCTTGGGCCCCTACTCCCTAATCAGACCTCTCTCACCCTCGCTGTCAAAGAGTCTGCTTACAGCAAGATAAGCAGTGCCAGGCTGGGCAAGGGAACTCACTTTACTCCAGAGCTAGCGTAGCAATCTAGGCTGAGCTGCTTTTACCTTTTGGGGTACCTTCTGTGGCTCCCTCAGAGCTTCATGGACAAAGGGTACTAAGAAAGGACTCTCTCCAAACCTAAATCGTGAGACCCCACAGACCCAGTTCACCCTGACTAGAGAGACTGCATTATTGACCATCATCAACTGATTTACCTGCTCTGATGTAACCCAAATATAAGCTGCAGGGCTCACGTAACCCAGGGAAACCAAAAAGAGTGAACAGCTTCTCCAACACTTCATTTC